TTCAAAATTTATATGAAAACTAGCTGACCCAGCGAACTTCGTACCGCGGTAAAAATAGGGGCAGGTGGTAGAAGAGAAAAAGGGTTGTATGTTTTTTTAATACCACATTTTAAAGAATTAATATTATCCTAAAGAAATTTTAGCCGTGTGTAACGTAGAGTTCTATTTTCCTGGGATAACATTCCTCCTAACCCATATGAGAACACTACGTTACAATAGTTTGAATTTTGGTGAAATCATTGTAGGTTTCAGAACACTACGTTTCAGGTGGACAACCATTATCACTTAAGGATATGAAAAATAGATAGTAGCCGATTCTCAGACCCACGGAATATGCATATAAAATTTCATAAAAATCGGTCAGGAAGTTTCGGAGGAGTATGGTAACTAACATTGTGAAATGAGAATCTATATTATATATATAAAACTCAAAAGTGACTGACTGACATAGTGATCTATCAACGCACAGCCCAAAACCACTAGACGGATCGGGCTGAAATTTGGCATGCAGGTAGATGTTATGACGTAGGCATCCGCTAAGAAAGGATTTTGACCAATTCTACCCCCAAGGGGATAAAATAGGAAATGAAAGTTTGTATGAAACTTTGTCAATTTTAAACCGATCGGGCTGAGACTTTGCATGCAGGTATAAGAAGAATCATAGATGAATGTCATTGTGTATAATACAAGCATGAGAACAAAAACTGTAGTCTACACTTCAGCTCTACACCGAAGCGAAGCGAGGGCGGGCCGCTAGTTTTATATATAAGATAAAGCAGCGTTCCTACCGTACCGGACGTGAGAACGAACTGAGATCTAAAGTGATGATTTTAAATACCTAACATTGGGCGGTGCATAAAGCATAGGGGAATGGAGCCGCGGACGCATCACTCATATAAACTATAAGCACTATAGGCTTGTGTTATGGGATACTAGGGTAACGGATAGAATACATATACTGATACACAATATACGAGTATATAAGCATATTTTTATAGAAATATATACTAAGGAGCTCGATGGCGCAAGTGGTTAGCGCGTTCGGCTGCGATCGTTGAACTTAAGCAATTTTCGCAGTGGTCGGTTATTGGATGAGTCACCAAAAATTAATCTCGAGCTTCTCCGTGCTTCGGAAGGCACCTTAAGCCGTTAGTCCCGGCTGCATCAGCAGTCGTTAGCACCCACCAATCCACACTGGGCCCGCGTGGTGGGTCATGGCTCAAGCTCCCTATTCCATCCATAGGGAAGGCCTGTGCCCCAGCAGTGGGGACATTAATAGGCTGATGATGATAATGACATATTCACATTCATCACACAAACATCTCCCTCCCAGGATTCGAAGCCGGGACCTCTTGAGTAGGCAACACCTTGAAAACCGGCGTACAAACGATTCGGCCACGGAGGTCGCCCGCTAAAAACTTCACCGGGTGATATTTTCGATTAGTATTTTTTAACGAGTTTGGCCGATTGTTTCCTGCGGCTACCACCGGGATGTCAACGAGAAGGAGATGACGCAGCGGCGAGGTAGCAACACATTTTTGTAATGCATAATAGGCAAGCCGTTTTACCACAATCTCGCCTGATGGAAAGCGATGATGAGTCCTAGGATGGTACACGCCTGCCTAGACGATGCGTGTTCACTCTAGCCTTGCAGATGTCCAGATTATATTGATCCGGAAAAACAGACCTCGGCAAGGAGTTCCACTCCCTAGCCGTTCGCATAATGAAAGCGGAAGCAAATCGCTTCGTGCGAATGGGAGGAACTTCGACAACATAAGGGTGGTAGCCCTCGCCACGCCTGGTCGTCCGGTGGTGGAAAGGGGAAGGGGAGATCAAATTATGTAATACCTCCTCACACCCTCCGAAATGTAAGCGATAAAACACCGAGAGATAAGCTACACGTCTTCGGTGGTCAAGGCTCTGGAGATTAGCTTTAACGAGGGCGTCATTGCCTATGAGTGTCTTCGCTCGGTGTTCCACCGAGTCTTATGCATTCAGTTAATCCGTCCCAAAGGTGACAACAGTACTCCAAGCAGGAGCAAACTTGGGCTCTAAAAGTCTTCCAAGATTTTAGACTCGATGTAGCGACTGACATACGGCGCCGAGACGTGGACACTCACGGCTGGACGAGTCCACCAGTTTAAAGTCACTCAGAGAGCTATGGAAAGGGCTATGCTCGGAGTATCCCTGAAGGACCGTATCAGAAATGATGTAATCCGGCAGAGAACCAAAGTCACCGACATAGCCCACCGAATTAGCAAACTGAAGTGGCAGTGGGCTGGTCACATTAGCCGCAGAACTGGCGGCCGTTGGAGCCGGAAAGTTCTTGAGTGGAGACCGCGACGCCCTGAGACAAGATGGGATGATGATATTCGTAGGCTGGCTGGAGTGGGCTGGATGAGAGTAGCACAAAATCGGGAGCAGTGGCGTGCATTAGGGGAGACCTATGTCCAGCAGTGGACGAACATGGGTTGATGATGATGATGATGATGTAGCGACTGAAATTGAGGCTGGATGAGAGTTCAGAAGTGGCAATGGGCAGGCCAAATCGCTCGAGGATCTGACAAACGTTGGGCAAAAAAGGTCCTCGAGTGGCGACCACGTACCGGACGATGCAGCGTGGGGCGGCCCCCAACAAGATGGACTGACAACATCGTCAAATGTGCTGGGAGCCGCTGGATGTGGATAGCGCAGGACTGCGCATTGTGACGTTCTATGGGGGAGGCCTATGTTCAGCAGTGGACAGAGAAAGGCTGATGGATGGATGGATGGAGAGTCCAGACTCGAGACTCGACATACATTCACTATAGCCACTTGTCCACTGCAAGACAGTAACGTCATCTTGATCTCATGAAGAAATAATCTTGTTCTCTGTACAGTGATGGTGCGATGACCGAGTTGGACAAACTGCCTTACGGGCTTAAAGAATAGCCTCCCAAGCTTATTTATAAATTACAAAAATAAAAGTTCAGAGTATGACATTTTTGTTTTCAATGAAAAATAGCAGTGTCGGGAAAAATATCACCATACGGCGTTAATTTCTTAGAATTTTGATATTAAGTACAACATTAATTGTGTGACAAATATTACAACCACAACATAATGATTCATCTTACTTTATTCATTGCAATTGAAATGGTGATGTATGTCCGTATAGCATTAACTTACTCGTTAAAAGTAAAAATATAACGATATTATCTTACATATGTTCGATCGGAGAGAAAATTATATATTAACTGGCATGTTCATTTTCAAGATATTTGTCCCTCCCGGGATTCGAACCCATAACCTCAACACGACGTCTGTGGTCGTCAAAATAATAAAGTTAAAATTAAAATTAATAATTAAATAATGTATCTACCCAAGTAAGTATATTATCATCCTCATCATCATCATCAGCCTATTAATGTCCCCACTGCTCGGGCACAGGCCTTCCCTATAGATGGAATAGGGAGATTGGGCCATGCCCCACAACGCGGGCCCAGTGCAAATTGGTGGGTGCTGACGACTGCTGATGCAGTCGGGACCAACGGCTTAACGTGCCTTCCAATGCACGGAGGAGCTCGAGATAGTAAATTTTTGGTCACCCATCCAATGACCGCCCACTGCGAAAGTTGCTTAATTTCTACGATCGCAGCCGGACGCGCTAAGCACTTGCGCCATCGAGCTCCTCCAAGTATGTTACACGAAACCAAATTTCGTAGCGTTTTTTGATCTTTTGAATGTTCTTAGATTTTTTTTTCACCTTGTACGACGTTACCTCTTCGTGTCTGAAATGTACTTGGCTACGATAGTAATTTAAACTATGATTAAACATACACCGTGAATACCTAAGTATCTGAGAAACTTAAAAATCAAGTAAATAAAAATAATACGAACAGTTACAAACGGTAAACGTAGTACACTCCCATACAACAATTTTGATTTATATTAATTACTAAATATTCTAAATAAGCGCATATTTATAAATAATAAATAATTATTTCCAACATTCACACCAATTAGCCTAGCCCCAAAGTAGGTAAGCACTGTTAGGCTTGTGTTATGGGATACGGATAGAATTCTTATACGGACACATACATATATAAGTATATTCATATAGAAATACATTTTAGACATCCATGACTGGAATACAAATGTTTGTATTCATCACACAAACCCCAATTTGCCCCCACCGGGATTCGAACCCGGGACCTCTCAAGTCGGCGACACCATGAAACCCGGCGTATAAACCACTCGGCTACGGCGGTCGTCGGAATCTAAATAGGCTCATATTTGTAAATAACATACCTATTATGGAATTATTATCCACTAGTGGCCCACCCTCGCTTCGCTTCGGTGTAGAGCTGAAGTGTAGACTACAGCTTTTATTCTCAGGCTTGTATTATACACAATGACATTCATCTATGATTCTTCTTATATCTGCATGCAAAGTCTCAGCCCGATCGATTTAAAATTGACAAAATTTCATACAAACTTTCATTCCCTATTTTATCCCCTTGGGGATAGAATTGATCAAAATCCTTTCTTAGCGGATGCCTACGTCATAACATCTACCTGCGTGCCAAATTTCAGCCCGATCCATCCAGTGGTTTGGGCTGTGTGTTGATAGATCACTATGTCAGTCAGTCACCTTTGAGTTTTATATATATAGATAGATTAGTGAGTTAACGTGAAGACATTTTTCGAAAAAAAAATATTAATGAATAAATTTTATTGCGAAATTGTAAATTAAATAGTTGTCTGAAATAGCTAGTAAAGTTTCTTAGGTAATTCAAAATTCACGGTGTATAACAAAACAAAACATTCAACAAATAAGTGCTCGGTTATGTTTAAAAATTCAAATATTTCCTAGAAATAAGTGTACAAAACAAAAATTCAACCTTCCTACGTTGACAGACATAACCGGGGTGCCTATCTAGTCTGTGAACCAACGTGTATGTTATCTTAGACTCGACCGTTTATATAACAAGTGCCTCGCGGCCATGTTTGAGGTCCGTCAACAATATTTGTTGGTCAGTCAGTAGGAAATCAGTAAAGGCCCTAGCTTCATTGCAAACGGGCGTGACGAAATAACTTGTGTTTCTTTTTTCTTCATTACAACCACAGACAACAAGCCGATGTGAGTACAAACTTATTTTTTAAGACTTGTATAAGAACTTTCGTTTTTTTTTAGAACAGTTAAGGTATTGGTTCTTTTTCGAGAAAAGAGGTTTTTATGCGTAATTTTTCTTTTTCGTGTTTGTATTGAATGCAGGTTCCACACGATTGAGATCTAATCAAAACGTTTTGTTGACATAGTTTAGTGTCAGTTATTCTAATTATATTTATAGGAAGCTCCTGGGTTATTACTATCTACTGTTTTAGATCCATATTATTTATGTGAAGTATTTATTTTATAGGTATGTCTTATTAAAGCTAATACAATATTAATTTTAATCGGAAAATGTTTTAAGAATTTACGAATAACTGACATGGGTCATTTGTAATATCGTTGTATTGTGAGAATCAGAACTTTTTAGACAGCAAAAATAAATAAAAAAAAAGGCATACTTGGAACATATTCTTTGTGCTCTGTACATGAATGCAATAGAATAGGGATGATGACTATTTTTTTTCTTCGTTTATCAGGTAGATTATCAAAAAGTATTGGACACGTATTTTTTCTTTTTTCACATAATATAAACATTGGAGAGATAGGTATATTGATTTGAAAAGTCGCATGACGTCACGTTTTGGTACAATTTTCTCTTAAAAGTGACGTCACGAGCCCCTAACTTTGACGCGCTATAACTTTGTCATTTTTTGGTTGATTGCCCAAAGAAAACATACGTGTCTATTATTTTTTAATCATCTATCTGACGGACTAAATAGAATTTTGATTACTGTAACCCGCCATTATCCCTATTTTCATATTGAAATCATCATAACTACCTCCTTTGAAAAAATATAACTAACGAAATACCTGATAACTGCTTATTATGACGACCTCCGCGGCCGAGTGGTATGTACGCCGGGTTTTAAAGGTGTCACCCACTCAGAGGTCCCGGGTTCGGATCCCGGTGTGGCAAATGTTTGTGTAATGAATACAAGAATTTGTGTCGAAGTCTGGGACATTTATATGTATTTTCTATGAAAACATATACTATAAATTATGTATCGGCGTATGTATTCTATCCGTTACCCTAGTATCCCATAGTACAAGCCTTACAGTGCTTACTTTGGGGCTAAGCTTCTTAGTGTAAATGTTAAAAAAAAAACTTTGTTATTATTAGATTCTGTGACTCGCCCTTTCGCTTTGTTGTAGCCTGTAGACTATGGTTTTTGTTCTCGGACTTGTATTATCTATACATATAATGAAATGGTAGGAAAGTCAAAACTGTACATTGAATATTTTTTTAAATAATACTTGGGGTGTGGTTTACAATCGATACCGAAGCCAAAAATATAGTTTTTAGAACTTTTTGTCTGTTTGTCCGTATGTATGTCCGGGATAAACTCAAAAAGTACTGCATGGATTTACTTCAAATTTGGCACGAATATTATTAAGAAGTCGGATCAACATAAAGGCTACATATTATAACTAACTCCACGCGTACAAAGTTGCGGGCGGCCGCTAGTTCATAATATGTTAAAAATTTTAGTAAAAAAATATAATGTAACTTATGACAGAAATCCTTTCAGTACCAAATTTTTGAGAACTAGTGATGTTCTCATTATACAGACAGATGTAAGACTGTGTTTTATAATAAGTATTGATAACTACAAGTATTCCAAACACTAAATGTTATCTTTTTAACACAGAAATTATGTAGAGGTCAAATATGTATCGTAAACATACCGATAAGTTATTTACGGGTTAAATAGTGTAATACCAATTTGTTATGTAACAATTTTCATGTTTTGAATTATTATTTAACGAAGAGTAAATAGAAGAAAACATATTTTTTATTGTTTTTATTTTATCATTTATTCTGGACTCGGATCGAAAGATAAACAACTACGTTTGCGAAAAATAGTTATTAATTAACGTTAGAGGAATTTTTAAAAAATAAGTACTGAATATTGAAATGAATGTCGATTTTGGATTAATTTTATTTGACATCAGGAATCGTTATTAATATTGACATTGAATTGAATAATACTCTGAAACTATCATACTGAAAATTTTTGTTATTATAGGTATATCACACAAAATTTGAATTTAAATTATAATGATAAAATACTTGTTATTAAATGAATGATAGGTAAATTTAATATGACTTTTATGTTTTAATATATTAGAATTTTTTGCATGCTATTAATATGGCTGAATGGGTTTAAGATTCTTAGCTTTTAACATATGTTTTTGGAAACACCTTTTGTAAACCCTATTTAATACAAATAAAGATTATTCTATTCTAAACTTTTAGTAGTATTTATTTGCTATCATGTACAAATGTAAACAGATGTTACATACATTCTTAGTTATAGTACATGGCCCTGTAAGGATATTGCAAAATTAAGTTGATAAAATTTAATAATAATAAATAAATATTCAGAAGTGCATTTCATTCATTTCTTGACTTTATTATTATTTCGTTTTAGTATTTAGTAAGTTACTACTAAATGATAAGTATTAAAAAAATGTGCATTTTTGATATCCTAGCTGAGATAATTTTAATTTCTTAAACCGATGAAAATTAAGTAGGAACACAACATTCCACCTTATTTTACGTTTACCTAAGACAGACAGGCCAGTTAGGTAGGTCCGACTTTGAGAAAGAGATCTGTCATCGTATCCAGCTCGGATGGGCAGCGTTCGGGAAGTTACGAAAAATCTTCGCGTCCAAATTACCTCAGTGTCTCAAGACAAAAGTCTTATACCAGTGTGTGTTGTCAATGATGACTTACGGAAGCGAGACGTGGTCCTTTACTGCGGGTCTCATACGAAGGCTCAAGGTCACATAGCGGGCAACTGAGAAAGCGATGCTCGGTGTTTCCCTACGCGATAGAATCAGAAATGAGGAAATCCGTAGGAGACCCAAAGTAACCGATATCGCTCGAACGATTGCTATGCTGAAGTGGCAGTGGGCGGGACACGTAGCAAGAAGAACCGATGGCCGTTGGGGCGGAAAGATTCTGGAATGGCGACCACGCACCGGACGACGCTCAGTGAGCAGGCCCCCTACAAGATGGACCGACGATCTTGTGAAAGTCGCGGGAAGCCGATGGATGCGAATGGCGCAGGACCGATCGGTGTGGAGATCCTTGGGGGAGGTCTATGCTCAGCAGTGGGCTTCGTACGGCTCACATGATGATGATGATATTCAGAATATTCCAGAAATCGTGATTTTTCGACTTCTTTAATCATCATCATTATCAGCCTATTAATGTCCCCAATCCTGGGGCACAGGCTTTTCCTATGGATGGAATGGGGAGATAGGGCCATGACCCACCACGCGGGCCCAATGCGGATTGGCGGGTGCTAACGACTGCAGATGCAGCCGGGACCAACGGCTTAACGTGCCTTCCGAAGCACGGAGGAACTCAAGATAGAAGATTTTTGGTCACCCATCCAATGACCGACCACTGCGAAAGTTGCTTAAATTCAACGATCGCAGCCGAACGCGCTAACCACTTGCACCATCCAGGTCCATTCTTTAATCAATCAAGTTTAAAATATGTTTGTGACATCGACTGGCTTTTAGTGATTTTTTTTGTTTCAAAACTCACAGGACCATAAAAACTAGATCATAGGCAAGCTATTTGTTGATAGTGACTCATTATAAAATTGTTACCGGTTAAGGAAAAAACGTGTGCAAGGTTTAATAAGCGTAGTCTCGTCGTCCTCAATAGTAAAGTTATTGTGTGTAAGATGTAATATGTACTTTAATTTATAATTTTATAAGGTCATTGAGCGGAAGTATCTTCACAAAGCGTAATTTATATTCTGTATAAAGAGGTTTGAATTAAATTAACAAGAGATTTGGGGATGTAGCGGGGTTTTTGCTCGAACTTGGAACGTCATGTCCGGACAAGTGCTCGTGAAATGAAATGAAATGAAAAGTCATTTATTCAGTCTAGGCTGTTACAAGCACTTATGAAGGTCATGAAGCTACGCCATCGGTTCTCAAAACCACGGCCGGAGACCTTGTACTGAGAATAACCGGCAAGAAACTCAGCAAGGGCTGATTATTTTTCCCTGTATGTTATATACAGTCGTCAAGTTGAAAAATGCCTTCAGATATACGTCTGAAGTCACCTTCCATTACATCATTTAGAATATAAATATATGTATAGTGTTGTGTTGTAGTTGTATAGTTGGATTCACACACAAAAGGTGCCGTAACATTTTCCGTAAGAATAAACACTGTAATACAATATGGAGCAAAGGACAGTAAAAATCAAGTCAGTTGTATGGGATATTACCCCCTTAAAAATATTTTATTATTATTTGTTGTTATTATAATGGCAACAGAGATAAATCATCTGTTATTAAAAAAGCTTATTACAAAGTGTCTGATTATAAATAAAAACAAAAATGCTTGGATTTGAACTGTTCCAATCATTCCAACAGGTTTTCTATCTTTATATATATAATTCTTCTGTGAATGTGTATGTCACTGAACTTCTCTTAAACGACTGGACCGATTTTGATGAAATTTTTTGTGTGTGTGTCAAGGGGATCTGAGAATGGTTTAGATTCACAATTTTGTCCGCTGGACAACCCCTATTTTTTAGGGCGGTACGAAGTTCGCTGGGTCAGCTAATATTAAATAAATCATGATTGTATTGACGCTGTAACAACATAATGATTTGTAAAAGTTGTTACATTATACTTTTAATATTGTGGAGTTTTTTTTCGCTCGTTTTTCTCTGCAGCTAAAAAATATGTCCGAGTGGTAAGGATAAAAATTTTTTGGACGGTTCAAAAGAGTTTTGATTTCTGATTACTGTGAACATTTCAACTGTCTACTTCGCACGGATTTTTATTACAAACTGAATACCAAATTTTCAAATATTCAACACAACTGAGATGAAAGATAGGTAGAAGGGCACAGCGGATTTTTCCCTCGAATTGGAGCGCCTGTCTGGGGAAGTAACGTCCATCTTACAGAGGACCACAGTAAAATAACACACCCTTTTTGAGGTCTAGTACCCGTTGGACCCTCCTATTTGGACCTTACCTACAAAAAAGTACCCATTCGACCTCCTATCAAGAACATGGTACCCATTAGACCCTCAAAGATTTACCCATAGAATAAAAATATATATCAGTAGTGCAATATTTGGTTTTGGCTCCTTGTCAATGCGAATAAAATGATAATCAACATTATACAATATAATTTTGAATAATTTTGATAAACTTTTTATTTTCTAAATATCTCCCTTATATGTTATTGTACGAGCTATTTACTAAAAAAAGCCAAATGTATTAAAAAATAGCATTTCATAAAGGTAACTATCATCTGTCTGCGTCCAATTTTCTACATGACTGTATTTTTAACTGTACTTGTGCTTAACAAAACTGTCAATAAGGTCCAATGGGCATCAAAAAAGAGGTCCAACGGGCACATAGAATATATATTTTTTTAAGAAGGTCCAATGGGCACCAAAAATGAGGTCCGACGGGCACTTTGAATATAATTTTTTTAAGAAGGTCCAATGGGCACCAAAAAAGAGGTCCAATGGGCACTTTTTGCTTTAGGGGCGAAACTTGAGGGTCCAACGCGTACTCGACCCTTTTTGGTGGTGTTGTGTGAGTTCTGTTGGTGAGTCAGGTTCCAGGGCGCCACGGGGTAGGGGATTGGGTCAGGGTAGGGAACTGTGCGAGTGATAATATTTTTGTATCGCAAGCGTCTATAGAGTGTGGTGGCCGCTAACCACCAGACGGGTCATATGCTATTTGTCACCCTATTGACATAAAACAACACCTTTATGTTTTTTTAAGCATACCAATTAACCTAGTCCCGAAGTAAGCACTGTAAGGCTTGTGTTATGGGATACTAAGGTAACGGATAGAATACATATATAAGTATATTCTATTATTATTATTAAAATATATATATATATATATATATATAGAAATACATATGAAACATCCATGGCTGGAGTACAAATGCTCGTATTCATCACACAAACATCTGCCCCCAACGGGGTTCGAACCCGGGACCTCTCTAGTCGGCGACACCATGAAACCCGGCGTATAAACCACTCGGCCGCGGAGGTCGTCAAATGTACCATCAAATATGTCTATACTTTGTTCTTCTATCTTCTTATTCTAATGACTCTGGTTAATTTCAGAAAAATGAAGATCCTGGTAGCCTTAAGCCTTCTGGCGTTAGCTGTGTCCATAGAAGCCAGGGTCACAGCCACTCAGAAGCCCATATCTCCACAGATCACATCTTTGACCGACAAGGTGAGAAAACATAGCAGTTAATCACAATATAATTCGAAACTTCAAAATAAACTCATAAGCGTTAATGTTTAAATGAAACTTCCTTAATATTGTTGAATTATGTTCTTGTTAAAAAAACTTGCTACAGAAAATAAATGTGTTGTATTATTATTTTATTTCAACGTATTTTTTTTTACGATAAAAAGCTGTTTTTTGCGTCTCTAGTCAGGATTCCTGACTAGAGACGCTTTAATTAGATTGCCCATGGGGCAGTCACCTCTGTTCGATAGCTTAGTGTCTTCTTTATGTGGATTTCTCAATAAAAATCGGATTTTCAGATTGTAGAATATTATTCAAGTAAAATACAGATCTTATTGAAATTATGTGCGTACGTTGTCTTTTTTGAATTCGAATTGCAAGAGGGAGAGTGAATGTATATAAATCAAAATGAGTGAATGTAGAATGTATGAATGGACGATGATGACGGACCGATTGTAGATTCTTTCGCCGAAGGATAGATGGCGTTAACAACCTCCTATTTGGTGGTGGGAAAAAATATTGGACGATTCAAAAGACCTTTCGGACCAATTTGAACAAATGAATAATTTCATTTTATTTTATTTCATTTGGCAAGAAATAAAAAGGTCAAAATTGCGCAAATAAGCATCAATCACACTCATATTATACTGGCGAAAGTTTGTGAGTTGTGTATGTTTGTTACTTCTTCACGTCTAAACGGCTGGAGCGATTTTAATAAAATTTGGTATGGAGTTAGCTGACAACCTGAATTAACACATAGGCTACGTTACGTTACTGCGGGAAAATATCCCTAATGAACCGCGGGTAACACCGCTAGTAGTATATATTATAATGTCTAATAGGTTGTTTTATTTTCAAGGATGCCAGAAGCAAAGCGCGTGTACACCCAGCTTTTGCCAGTGCCGGCCAGAGGGCTGGCGTCGAAGTATGGAGGATCGAGGTGAGTCAGTACATCATAAGGGTCCTTATATCATCATCATCACCTTACTAATGTCCCCACTGCTGGGGCACAGGCCTTCTCTATAGATGGAATAGGCCGAAAGTGCCATAACCTTTTTGTTTTTGAGTGTGTATGCTGTTGGTCGCAGATGTCCTTTTCATCGTCACTGGGTTTGGGGACGGCGAGATCCTAGGGGGACCTCAAGCCGAGAATTGGCGAGTGCCTCTAGAGGTATTCCAGGCGGATGGCATCTCCCCACGGGGGCGTCTCCTCTCCGTCTGGAATCTCTAGACCACTCGAATCTGAGGGGTCCATAACCCATGAGCTACCACGCGGGTACAGCGCGAATCATTGGTTGCTAACAACTGCAGATGCAGCCAGGACCAGGGTCTCCAATCGTACGAAATTTCTCGTAAAAATACGAAATTTCTGGTCTTCCGTACAAGGTTCGAGAACATACACATCTCGTACAATTATGTACGCGATTTTGTCAGATAAAGGCGAATATGTATGGACGCTGCACCCACGTCCGCCACGGCTTAAATTACATTTGTTTGAAAGGTATTATAGTCATGATCATCTGTGCCAAAGCGCATCAAATTCCATCCCGGGGGACTTTAGTTATTTTAAATTACTAGATACAAATAGGTACAAGTACTAAAACGAACGAACATTAATGAAACAAGGGAATTATTTAGTTAGTTAGTTCGACCCTACAGGTATTATGGGAGTACTTCACAAGGTTCAAGGGGTTCAAGGTTCATAATAAAAGTTGTTCCTGTTGATGGGTAGAATAACCCCCTAAGAGGTTGCTGGTGTTTAAAAATTAACCCTGTATATGTGTACAATATATACATGTGTGTACATATACATATTTCATTTTCGAAAACACTTTTCGTAACGCGTTCGCGAGCTTACTCCCCAATTCAAGAAGTTTCACTACAAAAATGGTAGACACTATCATCGGGCAAACCAAATGGTTGTTAGCCAATATCTTACACAAAAATTAATATTATCAACGTAAGTTCTATAAAGGGGACTCTTATTAAATTAAATTTCAACAATCTAGAGTCTGTGCGAAAAGAGAATGGGATTTAGATTGGAGGGCGCTGTAGTGCTTTTCTACCGTATTTGTAAGGTTTTTACCCCTTTTAGACATGATTAAATACAAAAAAAATGGGTGCGTGTACTTATGTAGGCGCGTGAGAAGTTATCCTTCTTTGGCAACGTTTAAAATTAGTTTTTAATTGCATCCAAATAATTAATTACAATAAATTAATAAAAAGTCTGGAAAAGGACACAGTCAATAAAGTTCAGTTTTAATTTGAAAAAATAAATAAATAATCAAAATATTCAATTAAAATCGCTACTGAATATAATTTATTAGAACATATGTGATTTGCACTTGTATGAAACTCAAACACGTATTCCGAATATACAAACTAGAAACATGTGGATAAATATTATAAATATGAATACCTATAACTGTTACTTTATTACAAAAAATGAAGATGTGGTTTTTGGTTCTACTACACCAATGGTCAAGAGATGGCGCTGTAGTCTCCTGAATCGCGCTTTGGTTCCGTTGTTCCAGATTAATAAATACTTTTGATAGGCCTTCACAATGCAGTCGTTAGCATCCACTAAATAGAGATTCTATTTTGTTGGTAGATTTTCTTAATGTGCGGTAAACACAAAAGTAACGCATGAAGTTGGTCGCTAAAGCGACCAACTTCATGCTGTTAAAATTTCGTGTTACAGTGATGCGCGCGCATCTTAAAATTTCACTCTCATCATTTTTTCATAACGCGCCTAAAGAAGTATAACTTTAAAAACCGCAAGAAATTACAACAACAAACAAATCCGTAATACAAAACTTTGACGTTTTACAGATTGCTGGGTTCGATTGCCAAATAAAAATCTGAATTTTACTTCCGTTTTTTCCACGCCCATTCTGTTCCCTCACAGACTCTAATTAAGTTTTCTTGTTGCATTTCAGACATTCAACCCCGTTGCGGTCGGTCCAAATGACTACGGCAAATTCCACAAAGGAGATTCTTATATCGTCTTAAAGGTGAGTTACTGATGTACATTTTACAGCAGTTCATCATCATCATCATCAGCCTATTAATATCCTCACTGCTGGGGCAAAGGCCTTCCCTACGAATGGAATAGGGAGATTGGGCCTTGACCCACCACGCGGGCCCAGTGCGGATTGGTGGGTGCTAACGACTGCAGATGCAGCCGGGATCAACTGCTTAACGTGCCTACAGAAGCACTGAGGAACTCGAGATAGGGGATTTTTGGTCACCCATCCAATGACCGACCACTGCGAAAGTTTAACTTCAACGATCGCAGCCGAACGCGCTAACCACCTGCGCCATCGAGCTCCTCAGAAGAATTTCAAGCGAACATAGAATTTTTAATACTTACATACCCAAATATAGTGAAATACCAAAGTTCAATAAAACAATGTATAAAATTAAACACACACACACACACACATACACACATAAAGACACAAACACACACGCACACATGGCACACAACATTTGCATAACCTTTCTTAATTGTAAATACTTTTGCTTAGCTTTAAGTCCTATTAATGGGATTTAATGATCCTGAGATTATTTTCAGCATGTTCATTTGTTCATTCTCTGTAACCGTACTCCTTTTTGTAAATAACATTATTAGTTAAGGAAGAGCGGAGCCTCCAAACACAGGCAATATTTGCTTAAATGGAGACTCCAATCGATCATTTTGTTAAGAAGGCTATTATAAAGGAAAATAAATTATTATTATTATTATCTGTAAAACTTCTGGATCAACGACAATAGACAAGAGCGCCTGCGCAGTAACAATTCCCTTATAGTGTCGTCGTCGTCAGGGTTCCGTAACCCTGAACCCTAAATCGTCTACGCGCAAGTTTGTCTGTGGTATAGCTAAAGAGGTTATCAGCTGCCTTTAACAAGCTCTTATGGAATAGGGTATTTGACAGTATTAAAAATAAAATGCCAATTGTGTTCATCTGTGTTTGGAATGAATATAGGCAGGGGTTTTTACTATTTTTACAAAAAAAATATTCATAATTTTACTAAAAACCCACAAAAAAGATAATAGTTTTCTTATCTATTGTCACGTGACCCAAAACGCTTGGGATTGGTGGAGCCTAAAATGACGTCACACGCAAGTAAACTTCCGGTTAAAGTGACATTACATTGTATCGTTTGACGTTTTACTAACAGTCATCTGACGTCACACACTAGTAAGACGCCATATTGTTCAGAAAAACGTTTTCGCGGCAACTTGAAAATGGAGTTTTTTATTTGGTTATTTTTACTGAAATACACAACAGAATGATGAATATCCACTTTTTACGGACTCCATAAACATTAGTGAATAACGTGAGATCGTTTTCTAAAACTTGTCAAATACCACTGTTAATAACACGACTGTTATTAAAACGTCAAACAATACAATGCAATGTCACTTTAACCGGAAGTTTACTTGCGTGTGACGTCATTTTAGGCTCCGCCAATCCCTAGCGTTTTGGGTCACGTGACAATAGATAAGAAAACTATTATCTTTTTCGAGGATTTTTAGTAAAATTATGTTTTTTTTAAATAGTAAAAACCCCTGCCAATATTCAATCTAAACACAGATGCTAACAATCAGCACTTTATTTTTAATACTGTCAAATACCCTATTGGCCCACAGCACAAGTTAGCGAGTATGTATACGTTCGTTGTACACACTGAAACACGAAAATCCATTTTCGTCCATGAGAAAATAAGTGAGGTCTGTCAGTCTTGGAATCCTGAACTATAATTGGTGTGTGTGTGTGTGTGTGTAAGAAATATTTAATTCGTCAATTCTCGGCTTGAGGTCCTTAGGATCTCGTCATCCCCAAACCCGGTGACGCTGTGAATGTGATGTGCGACCAACAGCATACACACTCAAATAAAAAATACATGAATGTGGAGAAAATTGTAACCACGCCGCCATCTTTGTAAACGTCATATTATATATCATATTATATCCTAACCTTATTTTTATTACGCCCTTAAGGGGCACACTAACGAAAAGACCAGCCTCCCGGCCTCGCCGGGGCTCTTTTTTTCTAGTAAACTTTTCTTTAGATTTAAACATCTAGCAGTTAAAAAAAATCAAGAAATATTTATTTATTTTATTTATATTTTATTTAAGACTACAGCAGACAAACGCAACGTCCTCACCCACGACATTCACTACTGGATCGGCAGTGAGTCTACGCAGGACGAGTCGGGCGCGGCGGCCATCTTGACTGTCGGATTAGACGACAAGTTCAACGGCGCCGCTGTGCAGCACAGAGAGCCTATGGGTTACGAGAGCCAGCAGTTCAAGAGCTACTTCCCTAATGGCAAGCAACAGAAATCTATCTCTATTTTTCATAGATAGGTGCTACAAATGACTCCACCCTACCTGATGTTAAGTGACGGTGAAGTCCAGACGCGAAGATAGCTGATACAGCAGTTCTACCTGCCACACCAGCCATACTCACCCTGCCGGCCTGCATGTTGCTTCTTCACACCTGTTTTAAAGGATTCCAGGTTTGTAAGAGTCTTTTTTTTATTTTGTTTAATTTATAATTTGTCTATGTCATATCCTATCCCACGAAGATCGCATTACTCATTAGTGAAATAGGTAGGTAGGGCCAGGTGAATTAACTGCTTGAATTGGAACACACCTCAGGGGAGTTTAACGGCGTCACTGTGCAACACAGACAGCCTATGGGTTACGAGAGCCAGAAGTTTAAGAGCTACTACCCTAATGGTAAGCAAAGCAATTCAATCTTTGTCTTAAACCTATCCCACGAAGATTACATTCCTCATGTAGAAAGCCCAAAGGGGAAGATCTTCCTCCGAGCTGGGTGATGGTAGCTCGGGACCGCGGCCCGACTGATGTTAGTCGGGCATTGTATATAGGGAGTGTAAGCTATCTTCGCTTCTGAACTTCACCTTCACTTAACATCAGGTGGGGTGGAGTCATTTGTCGGACCTATCTATAAAAAAAACATAATATGACGTTTACAAAGACGGCGGCGTAGTTACAATTTTCGCCATGCCTCGATTTCTTCAGGAACCCCAATCTTGAGGAAATTGAGGGGAAACTTTATCGAACGAGCTCCCGCACACGTTTTTATAACTTGCTGCGACTTGCGCTAACTTCAGCTATTAAGTCTGAATATCACTCTAGTATAGTGCGACAAAGTACTTTATGAATGACCTCAGGTTCGAGTGGTCTAGAGGCTCCAGACGGAGAGGAGACTCCCCCCGTGGGGAGACGCCATCAGCATGGCATACCTCTAGAGGTACTCGTCAATGCTCGGCTTGAGGTCCTTAGGATCTCGTCATCCCCAAACCCGGTGACGCTGTGAATGTCATGTGCGACCAACAGCATACACACTCAAAAAAAATACATGAATGTGGAGAAAATTGTAACCACGCCGCCATCTTTGTAAACGTCATATTATATATCATATTATATCCTAACCTTATTTTTATTACGCCCTTAAGGGGCACACTAACGAAAAGACCTCACACCTAGCCTCTCGCAAGTCTCACGGGTGCGAAACGGAGAAGCCGTTAAGCAGTCCGCGCGGCTTACGAGCGCCTACGGCATACTATCCGCTAAAAAACCCTGCGAATACCCTCTACGCTGTTAAGTGTGGAACCGCGAGATCTCCGTTGAGGGACTTCACCTCATCTCCGCATTCGACAGCCTCCCGGCCTCGCCGGGGATCCACGGCAGGGATCACCGGGGTATTTCGGGACATCCCGTAGACGTGCTCAGGACTGCCCACGCTGGGAGCTAAGTCCGCGGCCTATTGCCCACCGCACCTCTCCCCATCCGCATTATATCCTGACCTTTTTTTTATACGCAGGCAAAAATACTATTTACAGACGACGGACGGCGCCGTTAAGAGGCACACCGCCGAACGAACCTCACACCTGGCTCCCGCAAGCCTTACGAGCCCCAGCAGTGGCTGCCCACTGAGGACACCGTAACTCTTACAGGCGCTCTACGGCATAATATCTCTCTAAGCTGCTTAGTACGAAGCCGCGGGATCCCCATTTAGGGATTCTTCCGCGTCTCCGCACCTAGCAGTCTCCCGGCCTAGCCGGGGCTCCGCGGCAGAGGTCTCCCGGGGTATCGCGGGGACCCCGCAGACGTGCGCAGGGGCCTAGTGCCCACCGTATCGCCCCCCATTATATCCTGACCTGAGGACTATGAAACCAACTAGAAAGAATATTCTTTCAAACAATATAACTATTTTCCCACTCGGTCTAACCTTCTTTGAGCAATCGGCACTACGGCAAATTCGGTTAAAAAGTGTTTCTGTGCGTAAATATACTGTTTACCGATTGTTAGCAAGTACAATTATAACCTCATGTCTTCCTTCATAGATGAGTTTCTTCATGTTTGTTCATTTGTTACCTGTAATTGGTACGGTATCCACGTAATACCACTTGAGTCACACCAGGAAATAAATTGCGAAGATCCTTATTGTCTCTGTAATGCCGCAATTATATTTGTTCGTTACGCCGAATTCGTGTGCATTAAAGACATTAATCGAATCGGGGCACCCGAAGGAATATTTACTCTGGAATACAGGGCTGGAAGACGGTGTTGGGTAACCGAAAGGAAATCTATCCGAATACAGGCGTACTCGACTCCGGTCATTTACACTTCGGCGCAGAGGCGGAGTAAGGCGTGGGCGACGTGGGCGACCGCCTACGGCCTCGCGGTACAAGGGGCCTTGCGCCTCAAAAATTTTTATGCATTGCTTAAAAGCGAATTTCTTTTTTTTTATTATTTTATAAAATCCGTCTTCAGGTCGCCTCAGAACAGGGCCTCGCGAAATCTGTCTTTTTACGTCTTTCCCCGCCACTGCTTCGGCGTTTACCCGAATACCATTGGCACTCGTATTCGGGCTAGCGACCAAGTGTTATGGAGCCATTAAACAAATAGCCAAACCAAATCGTTAGATTTTTATAGTCGAATCTTTTGAATATTATGACCATCAGATTATTAATGTACTGATGGGGCATTGGTTTTTTTCTCTTAGGATGGAATAAAGACAATGGGCTATCATCACCATCATCAGCCTATTAATGTCCCCACTGCTGGGGCACAGGCCTTCCCTATGGATGGAATAGAGAGATTGGGCCATGACCTACCACGAAGGCCCAGTGCGGATTGGCGCGTGCTAACGACTGCAGACGCAGCCGGGACCAACGGCTTAAAGCTGGTCCTTGCGAAGCACGGAGGAACTCAAGATAGGAGATTTTTGGTCACCCATCCAATGACCGATCACTGCGAAAGTTGATTTACTTCAAAGATCGCGCTAACCGCTTGCGCCATCGAGCTCCTCATATCATCAATGGGCTATATGTGTCCTATAACAAGGGCATAGTGCGGATTGGTGGGTGCTAACGATTGCAGATGCAGCCGATACCAACAGCTAAACTTTCAGCGGTTTTAACGGACCTAAGTAGTGCAATTTAACTATCCACTGTCGGAAAATTAAAGGCTGCTGATGTACGGACTTGAGTAGCTCGATGGCACAGGTGGTTAGCGCGTTCGGCTGCGATCGTTGAAGTAAAGCAACTTTCCCAGTGGTCGGTCATTGGATGGGTGACCAAAGATCTTCTATCTTGAGTTCCTCCGTGCTTCGGAAGGCACGTTAAGCCGTTGGTCCTGGCTGCGTCTCCAGTCGTTAGCACCCGCCAATCCGCACTGGGCCCGCGTGGTAGGTCATGGCCCAATCTACCTATTACATCCATAGGGAAGGCCTGTGCCCCAGCAGTGGGGACATTAACAGGCTGATGATGATGAACCGACTTAATTACCCTATACACAGGAAAAGAGCTGGAGAAATAAGATGAATTATGGATGTCTTACAATGTAACAAAATAATAATTTCGTCCCCTTTCCTTTAAAGGTGCTGACACTTTAATTTAAATGAAATAAATTTAACTTTGTCTCAATTTAACGATTTTTCGACGAGTACACATAAGTCAATGAATACTCTATCAGTATCTTCATATACTGTTATTAATAAATTGACTGGGCAGAAACTACCTATAACGAATTTACAGTAAGTACTTATTGGTGTCGATTCTGACACGATTTTTAAACCTAAAATTAAAGGCAACAAGGATTTTTTAGTGTGTATGCTGTTGGTCGCAGATAGTGATGGGATTCGAGTTGCTTTTCATTCGATTGACTCGAGTAGTTTTTATATTACTCGCACTCGAGTTAAATTTTTGACAACTCGAGTTTCGAGTGACTCGAGTTGACTCGTACCACTCGAGTGTTTTATACCGAACCGAGTGAGAAATTCAAGTTGTGACAAGTTTACCCGCTGTAGGTTCCCTTTGAAATTACGTTGAAATATGTTTGTGTAGGTTGTTAATGTCATAAATGACCAAATTATGACGTGTGTGTTATTAGTAAGTGGTGAAAATGAGTAAATGCAATGGTGTGATAATTTTTTGGTAAAAATTTAGAGCAAAAAACTGTTATTTGTAACCGATATTTATTTGTAAGTTTGTTTTCTGCTTGTCTAACTGCTATACTTTCGATACGCAATATCATAGAACACAGAGGTTAGAAGATTCTTGTGGGCGGGACAGGCGCGCCACAGTTATGTGTGAGCAAATGCTCATAACTTAACCGAAACTTGATTCTGATTGCGTCGTTGCTCTCGGCTGTGAGCGCTGATTGGTTCGATTGTATGATGTCGCGTCGTTTGATTGGCTATTATACACAATGACCTGCGGCAGTAGTCGCGTTTCTAGTACCCTTTTTGTATTGGTCTTGTTTCATTGTCCCTTCTACGATGTACAGGCGTCCCATGCCTTTGGCTGAGATGACAGACCACACCATGACACTAATCGGATGCTTAACCTGCTCTACAAGACAATATATATATATATATATATATATATATATATATATATATATATACATATTACAATACAGCGTGGAATTGTTCATAGGTATATAGATGGAAGTTTATTGGGGGCGAGCCGGCGACATCGGTTCCTGTACCTATCATCACCCTTCTCTATATAAGCTAATATCTTATTTGTTAGCTATCACAATGTTCTTCTATTTTTTAATTTGCAGGTCTCAAATATTTGGACGGTGGTGTCGGCACAGGATTCAAACACGTGACCACCAATGCTGGGGCTGCTAAACGCCTGTTCCAGGTCAAAGGCAAGAGGAACATCAGGGTACGACAGGTATGAGGGCGCTTTCAACAACTCTATGGATAGGAAATACATACAATAACATCCCATAAAAACAAATTTTGGCGCATGGTATGCCTCGGGGCATCAATTTTATTTTATACAAGTTGACTCGGCGAACTTCGTACCGCATACAATAATTACCGCGTACAATAATTTGGAGGAAATGAAAGATAAATAAATAATAAATAAATAAATAAATTTATAAATAAATATTTCCAACACTCACACCAATTAGCCTAGCCTTTGGGGCTAGGGCTAGTAACTCCAGTAATTAACGTTACGTTTATAATATTAATATTAATATTATTTATAATATTAGTGTGATAATAATAAATATTTCCAACACTCACACCAATTAGCCTAGCCCCAAAGTAAGCACTATAAGGCTTGTGTTACGGGATGCTAGGGTAACGGATAGAATACATAAACTGTACATATATATATACTTATATTTATATAGAATACGTATTAAACATCCATGACTGGAGTGTAAATGCTCGTATTCCTCACACAAACATCTGCCCCCACCAGGATTCGAACCTCGAGTCGGCGACACCATGAAACCCGGCGTACAAACCACAGGGCACGGAGGTCGTCAATTTATCTATATTTAGACAGGAACACAGCTTTTGCTTCAGTTAACATATTATTTTTATTAATCTTATGTGGATAAGGGCTATGTTACAATCCGCTAACTATGAAGTTGGACCAACTTTCAACTAACTACATAGTCACTCAACAGTGATGCTTGTTCAATCAACGTTCGGCCTAGTCATTCACATAAATATCGTCATTCAATTAGGCTTGTTGAAAATATATCGATATATCGATATTTTTTGTTCGATATATCGATATTTTTTGCCGATATATTTTGATTCGATATATCGATACATCGATACAAAATAACCAATATCGAAATTCGTATCAAAAACGATTTTTTTTTAATTATTAGCGGCATATCACGATCTAACTAAATTCATATCTGGAAAAATCGTAACTGGATCTCAGATTAATGATATTCAACATATCTATGATCTGTGCTGTATTTAGTATTGTCTATTATTTGTAAATCTGTTTCGCTGGTGAATTTGGTTGTGCTGATTTCCATTATATTCTGTGAAGTGTGTGACTGTCTAGTCTTGTTAACGAAAGAGACCCTGCAATCATTTACCTGAGAGGCCCTGCAATCATTTTCATCATTCTAGAATAGGGTCTATTTTTGGGGAGATAATTTTCGTTCCATTATTATTCCGCGTATCATATTTCGTGAGCTACTGTACGATATTTTTGGGAAAATTGGTTCGATATATCGATATTTTTTTCAACTTTCGACATCCCTACATTCAATCAAATAGCAGATTCAGTTAGAAGACGGCGACACATACATATCCAACAAAACAAAACGATAGCGTGTTTTAATAATACAACACTGCCATCTATAATATAAAATGTTAAGTAACTCTAAAATTCTTCGCAGGTGGACCCCTTGATCTCCTCGATGAACGAAGGTGACTGCTTCATCTTAGACGTGGACCAGACGATCCTGGTGTACGTGGGCAAGAAGGCCAAGAATGTGGAGAAATTGAAGGCCATCTCCTTCGCCAACCAGATCAGAGACCAGGATCATAACGGGAGAGGACGCGTGGAAATAATTGGTAATTACCTCTTACTATTAGAATGAGCTAAGATCTTTATCTACACCTAAAGTTTCAAAATCTCTTTAAAATATTCTTAAAGAGTTAGCCTATTGTCATCATAAAAACATCCTACGTCCTTATAACCGTAGGTAATATCATCGAAACGTTTGATAGGTATTACAAGCGTAGGAGGATGTACTCGATGGCGCAAGTGGTTACTGCGATCGTTGAAGTTAAGCAACTTTCGCAGTGGTCGGTCATTGGATGGGTGACCAAAAAAAATTTACTTTACTTTAATTTACTTTCCCGAGCTCCTTTTTGCTTCGGAAGGCACGTTAAATTGTTGGTCCCGGCTGCATCTGCAGTCGTTAGCATCCAGCAATCTGCATTGGGCCCGCGTGGTGGGTCCTGACCCAATCTCCCTATTCCTACCCAGCAGTGGGAACATTAATAGGCTGATGATGATGATAAATGTATTACATTTTATAGTAACACTCCTTCACTTTTTCTATCCCTTTCGCGCAAAAGTTTTACTCATTAGGCAGCCATAAATTGATACTTCTAAAATCATTCGCTTTTTTCTAAAATTAACTATTTCTCTAGCCTAAGCCAACGCAATCAAAAGATACAGTCGTTGATACCGCAATTTTTCGAAACTCGCAAGGGAATCAAAACCTACAGGGTACTTCCCGTGAACTCAGAAACATGAAATGTATTTGTTTCTTAGGTTATCACGCACATTACTCATTAAATAAAACTAGTTTTTACGGGTTAATGCACGAAAACTTTATTTATTTATTGACGTTTCGTAGTCTTTACAGGCTACGTCGTCAGAATAAAACTTTTATTTAATTTGTCGAGCTACCTTCGAAAGACTTTTATTGAGCGTTTGGTTATTTCATTGTTCGATTTTTAAGTTTTATTGTCTTATGTATGAATTTATTATTTAATTTACTTAATAAAGTATTTTATTTAAAATTCTTGTTTGTAATTTTGAGTTTATTTATTTGACCCTAACTACCGTAAACTACCACCGGTTCCAAAATTGGGAGACCTTCCTGAGAAGAACCGGCGAAACAAACTCAAGAGAGGCTAAAATGTAGTACGAAGCAACGTCTTATAGCACAGACACGGTAATATTATCACAGATGTTGAATTTATATTGAATTTAAATTGGCAAAAACGAATCTATATTTATTATAATTTGTATTCCTTTTGTAATAAAAAGAAAGTAACATGACTAGGTAATGCCAAAGTAAACTTGTTCATTCAGTCTTGACTCATATACTTCATTCGTTCGTTCAACCCCCACTCATTCAATCATTCACGCATTCAGTTCACTTATAAACTTGCTTCACTTTATATCACAGAACAATATACATTCTGCTGTGCTAGGAGTCAGTCGTATCAACTTCCTAGTAAAGATATATTTACTACGAAGGTAGCTCGACAAATTAAATAAAAGTTTTATTCTGACGACGAAGCCTGTAAAGGCTACGAAACGTCAATAAATAAATAAAGTTTCGTGCATTAACCCGTAAAAACTAGTTTTATTTAATGAGTGATGTGCGTGAAAACCTAAGACACAAATATAGATATATTTCACAGAATATAAGTCATCAGAATATATCATTCGTCACTGTGATTCCGTATTTTATTCAGCTCCTCTGACCTATAAAATCTAACAACAGATAGAGGAAAAATTGCGAAAGCCCTAAATGTTTTGTTACATCACATATTTTTCGCAACCGACTCGTACTTATCCGGTTTTTTTAAACAGTCACAGCTAGTCACTGAAAAGTATTTTTTTTGTAGACCAATACTCCAGTGAGGTGGACGTCCAGAAGTTCTTCACAACCCTCGGATCCGGTGCACCCAACACTGTTCCAGAAGAGGCTGCCGGCGGAGACGACCAGGTATGTCTTCTGCCATTTGGTTTTATTTCTGTTAGAAAAATAAATCATTTTAACACTGAGACTAACAAACCCCTTGACACAGACCTTGGTCTCACTTTAACTTTCACTTTCACTTTGGCGTTATCTATTGTCTGTGGGGTGGGATTATTAGCTTTTTTTTTATAGATAGGTCCGACACAATGACTCCACCCCACCTGATGTTAAGTGAAGGTGAAGTCCAGACGCGAAGATAGCTGATACAGCAGTTCTACCTGCCACACCAGCCATCCTCACCCTGCCGGCCTGCATGTTGCTTCTTCACGCCTCTTTTAAAGGATCCCAGGTTGTAAGAGGGAGGGAACACGTGAGCGGGCAGAACATTCCATTTACGGATACTGCGACAAAGAAATGAGTCACCAAATTTCTTTGTATGTAAGACGGTGACAACGTAGGCCAGCGCGCGTTGTCCTCTGAAGGAAAGGGGAAGGTGGGATCACACACGTACACACGTATCCCACACACGCACACACACACACACACACACACACACACACACACACACACACACAAATATATATCTATGGGTGTGTGTATATATATAGGCCATAGGATTTTTCTATTTACTCCCCGTTCGAAAAGATTAAACTTAACTTCAAATAATAGTAATACAAATACCAATGATATTTTTCCAAATATTACCTACTGTAAGGTAATGTGGCATATTTCTGTACAGTGTCTCTTTTTGTTTCTAGACTTTTGAAAAGAACGAAGAACAGTCGGTAGTGTTGTCGGAAATATCGGACGCGTCGGGTAAACTCAAGGCGAACGCACTCACCAAACCTTACAAGCAGGAGCAACTCAAAACCACGGTAAGTTTATATAGTATCTTTATCTATACCGTAGTACGTAATTAAGTTACTCGGTGTAGCCCCTCTAGCATGACCACCGAAACGGGATATGATAAAGCGATATATCGCCATTACCTGTCAGACTACTGTCAAACTCCATAGTAGTCTGACAGTGAATGCCGATATATCGCTTTATCATATCCCGTTTCGGTGGTCATGCTAGAGGGGAGGCTAGACTGAATAGACTGAAAGTTTTATTCTCGGGCTTATATTATTATTACCAACGGGTCGTCGGTCGGTTCGCCATTGCCATTTCAGCTTGGCGATCCGTTGAGCTATGTCGGTTGTTCTAGTTCTTCTCCGGATTTCCTCATTTCTGATTCGACCGAGAGCTTGATGGCGCGAGTTGTCAGCGCGTTCGGCTGCGGTCGTCGAAGTTAAGCAACTTTCGCAGTAGTGGGTCATTGGATGGGTGACCAAAAATCTTCTACCTCGAGTTCCTCCGTGCTTCGGAAGGCACGTTAAGCCGTTGGTCCCGGCTGCATCTGTAGTCGTTAGCACCCACCAATCCGCACTGGGCCCGCGTGGTGGGTCATGGCGCAATCTCCCTATTCTATCCATTACATTAATAGCCTAATGATGATGATGATGATAATATATACTGTTGTAAGTAATTAAGTTACTCGGTGTAGGGTAGACTGAAATTAAATTTTGTTGTCGGGCATTAATATTACCAACGGGTACCCGCTTCTTCATTTGCGCGGAAAAATTGGTTATCACTACATAGTATAAAGCAAAGTCACTTCCCGCTGGCTGTACCTATGTCCCTATGTATCCATGGATCTTTAAAACTACGCAACGGATTTTGATGCGGTTTTTAATAGATAAAGTGATTCAAGGGGAAGGTTTATATTCATAATTCATGCATAATATAGTAGACAAACTGATAATTTTGGAGGTTTTTAATGTAAGGTCGTAAACAAACACATTTTTTGCGCTTACATTGCAAACGCTGGCTGTAGTGTTGAGTAGGACTTACAAGAGGCGGTACATTTGTCCAGGACATGACGTCAAAATGTAAGAGCGGCTCAAAATTTTAAAATGTACTACTTCACATTAAATGTCGCGATAGTCGCGTCTCGTTACACACTCACTCTTCGTAAGTCTGAGAGAGAGCGGAGGTATGACGTTTCATTTAAGTCCTCTACGCACTATCCATCTGTATCTCTATCTCTTTTACGTGTATAGCGCTGTCCTGCATGCTGGATCCAGCAAGATTGATAGTGCGTAGCGTAGAGGACTTTAGTCGAATAATTTACCGTTTCGTTCGTTTGAATACGTTCAAAAACATTGACGTATTTTTTTTTACTCAAATGCTTACGAGTACGACACTAACTAATAATGCTGACAATTTTAATTAAGGATATAACTATTTAGATTATATTTGAATATAAAATAGTAATACAAAATAGTTCACAATGTTTCAATAATTTAGTAATGGCATTTATTATTTTTTGAATAATGAATTGGTTATTATTTTTTATACACATTGTATCCGAATTCGGAGCGTGTCTTCTGCTGCCATTAATCAAATTTTTATTTCGGATTTAAGACTTTAAGATTATTGTAGCAATGACTTTTTGTGTGTGAGACGTGCATTTTTTTTTAATAGTGGTCGTTAACTGTTTGAAATCTCGAATTTTTGAGGCAGTGAGTGACCAGTCCCATAGTTTTATATTTATCTTGCTTTGTTTGTGCAGTTGAAGTGAATAATTATTTTATTATTCAGGTAAGTTGTTGTTTATGTTTAATATGTACTAACTTTCAATTCAATCACTATTTATTTTGCTTGTTTGGCTAATTTGTGTTTGTGTTATGGTTTTGTTGTGGTTTAATATTTTTATTTCCTTTGAGTTGATACTTTTGTTTGTGATGGAATAAAATATAGACTTTGTAGAATTGTAGGCGTGGATATAATATAAGAAAAAGGCATTTTAAATATGATAAGGTCGATTGTTGATTAGCCGAAGCGCCAGCTGTTTTGCGGGCATGCAGTGGTCTTTGATTGAAAGAGTGCTGCTCACACAACCCGTGCTGCCCGTGGCTCCTACCGCCTCATGCTGAATGTTCAGGCGATGGTTACTTGGGTTGGGTTAGATGACCAACAATTAAATATGTATATACAGGTTGTTACAGAATTCCGAAATAAAATATGAAGCTATGTATTCCGAAATAAAAATTTGTAGGTATCTGAGCGAGGCGCAGGGACGCCTGGGGGAGAGAGGGGGGTCTTTAGGTAGTAGTAATTGTACGCATTTATAGGGTTATCATCGGCAGGTGTAAAACGATATTTTTATTAATTTAATTAGAAAATAAAATTGGTCTGAAAGGCGTCAAACTTTCGTAGGTAATTCTATACAAGGAACACAACCAAACCTTAAAGTTTTATTTCGGACTTTTGTCACAAATATACAGGTATTTAATATATCCTTATACATTCTATATCCTTCGTAATACATTTAATCATGGTTTTTAAATATTCATTTAATTTGTAAATTTTTTGCATTCGATGTATATCTGGTGATGGAGATCGAAAATCCTCAAAAGCATGGCAATTTTTACGGACCTGAAAAATAATAAAGTCAAATGCAATAGGGGTGATGACGGGGTACAGTAAACGAAATTCTATTTAGTCCGTCAGTTAGATGATCAAAACATAATGGACACTTATTTTTTCTTTGGGCAATCAACCAAAAAATGACAAAGTTATAGCGCGTCAAAGTTTGGGAGTAGGGGCTCGTGACGTCACTTTTAAGTGAATTTTCCCTTATAAGTGTACTCAAACGTGACGTCATGCGACTTTTCAAATCAATATATCTCTGCAACATTGCAGTTATATTATGTGAAAAAAGAAAAAATACGTGTCCGATACTTTTTGATAATCTACCTGATAAACGAAGAAAAAAAAATTAGTCATCATCCCTATTTTGCCAAAAGAATTTTCTTACAAACACAACATGCTTGCTGTTTGTGTATCTGATTAGATTATAAGCACCGCCACCTTTGTAACAAAAAAATCTTAAAATACAATTAATTTCATATTTATTTATTTTTTTGCATGCGAAGTATGTCTGGTGATGGAGATCGAAAATCCTCAAAAGCATGGCAATTTTTTACGGACCTGAAAAATAATAAAGCCAAATGCAATTTTTGCCAGAAAGAGTTTTCTTACAAAGGTGGCGGTGCTTTTAACCTAATCAGACACACAAAAAGCAAGCATCCACAAGTATTCGTCGCTATACGAGAATGTCCTGTTGAAAATATGGCTTCTGGAACGGAACCACCAACCACTGACACGACAACACCAAAAATTGAAATAGCTACTGCTTCTACATCTACTGATTCCACATCTGCTTCGACTGCTGTCATGCCTAAAACACCCGCTACCACTTCCAGCACTGATCTATATAAAAAAGCTCCAGCCACTAACACCAAACTAACGCAATACTTTCATAAACCGCTTTCTGCTAAAAAAAGTGAACATCTTAACAAAATGTTAGTAAAAATATTCACAAAAAGTTACTTACCCTTCCATCTCATTGAATCCCCTGAGCTCAAAGAATTTATTAAAGAATTAAACCCAGCCTACCAGTTACCTAGTCGTAAAACATTATCTAATGCACTGATGGCAAATCTCTATAATCAAACAAAAGAAAAGGTCAAATCAGAACTCAGTCAAGCAGAGCATGTATGTATTACAACTGATGGGTGGACATCCGCCCCCAATGATAATTATTTAGCCGTGACCGTTCATTTTTTTAATCAGCAGGTAGAATTGAAATCTTTTTTGTTAGAATGTATCCAGTTTCCAGATAGACATACTGCCGCAAACCTAGCATTAGAACTAAAAAGAATAACAGATATTTGGCAAATCACTGACAAAATTGTAGCAGTAACGAGTGATAATGCTTGTAACATCAAAGCTGCTATAAGACTTAATAATTGGAGGCAAATACCTTGTTTTGCTCATACTCTGAACCTTGTAGTCCAATCTGCATTGAGAGAAATAAAAGATATCACGACCAAAATTAAACACATTGTTGAAGTATTTCGTAGAAGTCCACTTGCATCGGAAAGATTAAAAAATATGCAAAAAAAACTCGGTGAACCCCTTTTGAAGCTAAAACAAGACGTTGCCACACGCTGGAACTCCACATGTGATATGTTCGAGAGGGTCTTAAAAACTAAAAACAGTGTTATGTCCACAATAGCTATAGATTATCCAGACACTATAAACATGACTTCTGAAGACATCGAGGTTTTGGAATCTGCAATAAAAATTCTTTCTTTTTTCAAAGATGTAACTGAGGAGATGAGTTCTGAAAAGAATGTTACAATATCAGAGGTAGAGTAATTTCGCAGATATTATTTGTATTTTTAATTTTGACATAGTTTTTAATTTACCCAATTTCCTTTGTTAATTTCAGGTTATACTTATATCAAATACCCTCAAAAAGAAATGTCTTAAATTTTTATCTTCGCCTCACCCGGACTGCGTTACACGAATGGCCGAAGTGCTTTTACATGAAATCACCTCAAGGTTTTCGGGCATTGAGGACAATAATATTTTCGCTGAGAGCACTGTCTTAGATCCTCGGTTTAAAAAATATGGGTTTGAAAATGAATTTGCTTATGGGAGAGCCTGTGCCAATTTAAAAACAATGGCTGGGCGAATTCATATTCCAAGCCCATGTACAGAGCCGGCATCTGCATCGCCACCTCAAATACGTAAAAACAGCATATGGGATGAGTTCGATGAGGAAGTGAGTGTAATAATACGTAACACAAATCCAACTGCAGGGGGTATTATCGAAGTCGATAAATATCTCGAGGAACCCCTACTGCCCAGGTCCCAAGATCCTGCACAGTGGTGGTTTGGTAAAAAAGACGCCTATCCTAGGCTTTTTAAACTATTTTTAAAACGGCTTTGCATCGTGGCCACGTCTGTGCCTTCCGAGCGTACTTTTAGCAAAGCGGGCCAGGTCCTTACTGAGAGAAGGAATAGGCTCAGTGGCAGCAAAGTTGCACAAATTTTGTTTTTAAATTACAATTTGTAATTTTTTCAGTGCCTTTTTATTATACATACTTTCAAATACTATTACTACACTATATTTGTTTAATTTTTTATTTACCTACTTAAATTACAACCCGAAATATAAAAAGAACCAGTCAAAGCGCTTCAATAGATTTTTTAATGTGTGATATGAATATATTAAGTATAGCAAACATAGTTGGAAGCCACAGCCGGTAAAAAAATCCATTTTTTTTTTGAATTATCGTAGTCGGGCATACATATTATATTTGTAGTGTAGTAGTATAGTACCTATCTCTCTCTTATCTTAGTAGTCTGTGTTACAGTGCGACAAGGATCTTGTGGCGCATCGCATGACACAAACTGGAAATAATGCTGTCTCACTGTGTTTTCTATAATTAATTTGAAGTACAACGCCCTCTTGTCAAAGTCAGCCACACGCCAAATAATCCTTGTCACTCGCACTGGGTTGCGTTTAAAACCTACGCCCTAGGTGCAACAAATATCTAAGTTGACATTAGCTTCATACATTTTATGTCAAAATTTAAACGTCAGGGTAAAAGTTGCACTCAGAGCGTAGGTATTGAACGCAGCCCAGGGTTGCGTTCAGAACTTACGCTCCAGGTGCTACTCGTGCACACAATCGTAATGTCGAGCTTATGTACGCCTCAATGTCATATTTGTACTCGTCTAGCGGTGGGTCGTTCTCAAATTTTCTGACGACGAAACGCAACCGTTTTCACTTAAACGAAAACTAGTCCTCGAAACGGTTCTCGTTCGCAACTGGTTTTGGTTGCGGCTGGGTGACGCAACGAAACGACACGCGACGGTCGAACGAATGTAACCCAACGAAACTGAACTAAATGAAATCTTGTTAACGTTCCTATCGTTGCTGCGAACGAGACGACGAAACATCGTAATAAATGTAGTGTTATACGATTATCGCCTTTAAATGTTCAATAATAAAGATTATATTATTGTAAAATCAAAGCTCAATTTATCATAGAACAAAACGGCCTCATATCATTGCGTTCTATTATAGACTGTATTTACTACGTCATAAAGTATATATTGGCGTGCAGACAATCCAAGGACTAGTTGTTCGACGAAGACTGTTTTGATCCGAAACGTAAAACGGTTCTATCGTCGCGGAACACAAAACGGTCCTTGAAGCGGTTCGTCTTTAGAACGCTCACACCTATACTCGTCACTTCAAATGTATTGCCGAGCTTCAGTACGCCTCGCCTCATTTGAAGTGGGACATTGTACTGGCTCAGTACAAAAAAGAGGCTACTCTTACAAACTCTTTTTTAAGTCGTGTCCTACCCAACACTAGCTGGCTGAACCCTACGAGATAGATCAGAATAATGTACTACAGTATTGTACACCTTAAAAAGGTCTATAAAAAAGTCCGCAATGGTATATGTCTATCTCTTAGGGATAACCCACAATAACCATTTTTTATCCTATACTTTTTACGAGAAATAAAAGATTATTTACATTCATCCTTATCCAATTAAGTACCTTAAATACATTGTGCATTTAATATAGACCAATTTGGCCTTTTAAAGCATGTAATTTAAATAAATATTTTCGAAGATATTTCAGATTTAAAATGCAGGGTTCCGACGCTACCGGGCGGGGGGCTTGGCGGCGCGTGTCTATTGTAATTAGGTATTAGAAGAATGTCATTGCGTATAACACAAGCTTGAGAACAAAACCTATAGTCTACACTACAGCTCTACACCGAAGCGAAGCGTGGGCGGGCCACTAGTTCATTATAAACTTTTCACCCCCTTAAAAGATGATTTTCCTGAGATAAAAACTATTTTTTAAGTATAAATGTATAAATGCTTTCCTAATGGGCCTGCGTGTATTGTTCCATAAAGGCTCTGTCTATTCTAAAAATTACAGTTTATAATGCCGAATAACAGCATAGGTATTCAGCAAGATGCAATCTAACTTACGATCTCATTTTTTCGCATTTCTGACAAATGCCAAATATCTAATACTGGCTGTTTTAACAGACAGCGCCATATTGCCGTGCAATAACGTTATGCTTAACAAACTTATGTTTAAAATGGCAGCTACTGAAATCGGAAGTTAGATTTTATTTTACCTACAGACAGTGGCAGACTAACAGGGGGGCGGAAGGGGCGGCCCGCCCCGGGCCTCCGATCTTGGGGGGCCCCCAAATTCCTCCGCGTTACCCTGATCAAATCCTAGACAAGACTTTAAAAATGTGCTTGATACCTAAATAATATCATCAAGATCAAAACACTAGACTAGACTATATCTAGACTTTTTACGCGGTACTAATATTTTTTTAACTTTGCTGAACGCGTCCAATACCCTGCGGGAATTCCCGTCTTTGGAGTGGGTTCTTCCTCAGGAATCCCTGAATGCATGAAATGCAAATAATTTACTCTTGTACGCAAACATTTACATTTACTACATTCTAATTAAGTCTAACAATATTTGCGGTCTCCAAAAATGACTCTGGCTGGATACAGAAATCACCAAACTAAACGCCTTGAATAAGTATTTAGGTGGTTCATCAACATCAAGAAACCAAGAAAAGTGAAGGTAAAAAGAACGATGCCGGGTGAATCAGCTCATGATGCTGGATTATCAATTCAAGAAGAAATACGTCGGTCAATGTATGAATGCATAGACTGCTTTATACAAGAATTTTCGAACTGAGCTATTAAACAAATCAAAAAATATTTTCCAAATTATTGAAACAAAGTTTATGCTAGAAGCTTCAGATGACGATCTGGCTGTAGCAGTTGACAATCTGATACAAAGTTATGGTGAATTTGTCTGTTTTAACGAAATAAACATAAGAATCTACATTTTTTTTAAAGCTGGGGGCCTCATGGCCTGAGGCCTCCACCTCATTCATCTTTGCCGCCCCGGGCCTCTGACGGGCTTAGTCCGCCACTGCCTACAGAACAATCATCATCATTGTCAGCCTATTAATGTCCCCACTGCTGGGGCACAGGCCTTCACTATGGATAGAATAGGGAGTTTGGGCTATGACCCACAACGCGGGCCCAGTGCGGATTGGTGGGTGCTAACGACTGCAGATGCAGCCGCGACCAACGGCTTAACTCCTACGTGCTTTACGGAAGGCATTCCGAAGCACGTAGGAGCTCAATATAGTAAATTTTTGGTCAGCCATACAATGACCGACTACTGCGAAAGTTGCTTAACTTCATCGATCGCAGCCGAACGCGCCAACCACTTGCGCCATCGAGTTCCTACAGAACATTAGTAACTTTATTTTGGCTTTTATCCATAGGAGAGTTACATCTTGGATACAGTCTCTGGAAGCATCTACGTGTGGACAGGAAGACAATCTTCAGAAAGGGTGAGTACCACCATCATCAGAATATTAATACCCTCAGGCACAAGCCTTCCCTTTGGATGGAATAGGTTCCAATTACTTGGGGCCTCTTATTAAAATAATAAATAATTAACGTTTTCACTTTAAAAAATCAATCCTACAACTAGAGTCTGTGCGGAAAGAGAATGGGATTTAGATTGGAGGGCGATGTAGTGCTTTTCTACCGTATTTGTAAGGTTTTACCCCTTTTAGATATGATTAAATACGAAAAACCGCAAGAAATCACAACAACAAACAAATCCGTATCAATACAATACTTTGACGTTTTACAGATTGCTGGGTTTGATTACCTAATTAAAATCTTAATGTAAGTTCCGTTTTTCGCCACGCCCATTCTCTTTCCGCACAGACTCTATCAAGGTTTTTTTTACATCTTTTCTTTTTAAACAGAATTATAAGTCCTTACATATGATTATTTTTTAAGTAAAGGGATCAATGAACTACCTTTAAGATGGCAAAAATGCATAGATAACAACGGAGCATACTACGATGAATTAAATACATTTTACAAAAAATAAAAAACCTCCCGTACAAAACGCCAATTTCATATGTAGCATCTACAAAAAAATAAACAGGGCGTCCCTAGGCATTGCCACACGGAGGGAATGTATATTAATTTTTGAAGAAAGGATATTTGACTGAAAGAAGACACCATTTTATTTTTAATAATAAGTAGAACTGCATTCACATTTTTTTTAAATCGCCTGGCACAACCGGGAATCAAACTCGTAAATCGACGTTTTAAATAACAGTCGTCTGACGTCACACACTAGTAAGACGCCATATTTTTCAGAAAAACGTTTTCGCGGCAACTTGAAAATGGAGTTTTTATTTGGTTATTTTTACTGAAATACACAACAGAATGATGGATATCCACTTTTTACGGACTCCATAAACATTAGTGAATAACGTGAGATCGTTTTCTAAAACTTTGCAAATACCCTATTTTATTTATATTAGATAACCCTTTTCGAATTCTTCATTTTCACTCACAGGAAAAGTCAGAAGCCATGACTAAAGCACAACAGACTCTGCTCTCCAAGAATTATCCTTCCTGGGTAAGTTACATGATTCTACTACTTGAGGCCGTTTGCAACCTTAGATTAAAACAAAAAGGGTAGATACGGTACGCTCCTACTTGCATCAAACAAAAACTGATCCTACGGCAGCGCGAACGGGACGGCGAGATCCGCGTCACTGCATTACCGACCCGAACGAAACAGCACGTTAAGTTAAATGGCAACGCGAACGAGACGGCGAGATCCGCATCACTGCACTACCGACCAATCACGCGACCAGTACTCGACGTCACTACCGAATAAGATTCAAAACAAACAGCATTTTTTATGAAAAAAATATATTTTATAGTACTTAAGAATGAAAAGTGATGCCGTGGGTTTTATTTTTAGGTCTTGAGCAATTTCAGCACTTTTTAAAAACACACTTAGGGATTGTTTTATCATATAAACACAAAATATTAGCAATATTTCTTTTTGGCGTTCACATGTACGTCATTTGCATGTTAAGTTGTGACTAAAGCGATTAGGGTCCTGGACCACAATTTAGGCGGATCACTTTTGTGAGACTAGTGCCGTATCTTCTCTTTTTGTTTTAATCTAAGTTTGCAACAGACTTCGGAGCTTTATAAACTCATCATCAGCCTATTAATGTCCCCACTGCTGGGGCACAGGTCTTCCTTATGGATGGAATAGGGAGGATAGTGGGTGCTAACCACAGGAAGTCTGTGGTGCAAACGAGTGCAGATGCAGCCAGGACCTACGGCTTAAACTGACAGACAGAGAATGTCAAAGTCAAAAACTCTTTATTGAAATTAGATGCACTAATTAATTAGACGATCTCCGTGGCCGAGTAGTATGAACGCCGGGTTTCAAGTGGGCGCTTACTCGAGAGATCCCGGGTACGAGTCCCGGTGGGAGCATATGTTTGTGTAATGAATACGAACATTTGTACTCCAGTCATGGATTTTTAATATGTATTTTTATATAAATATACATACATACGTACTGTATATGTATTCTAATCGTTACCCTAGTATCCCATAACGCAAGCCTTACAGTGCTTACTTTGGGGCTAGGCTAATTTGGTGTGTTTAAAAAAAATACTCGACAGATATGCGTTTACTATGTTATTTATTTGCCCACTAAACTACGACAGATGCGTTCATAGCACTTTTACTGGCCGAATTGCTCGCACGTATTTGGCCAGTATAGTAATTTTGATTTATCCCGAAGAAGGTTGTTAAAATAATACGCCAATCTTGTTTGAGAAAAAGAGAATTTATTACGTATTTCTGTAACCTAGACAAATCTCCGTGCTTCAGGAGGCACGATAAAGCTAAAAATCACTATACACACTAGACTTGCAACGAATATTCGGTTACTATTCGGTATTCGGCATATTCGGCTGCTTTTATTATATTCGGCCGAATACCGAATACTTAAATAATATATTTTGTCATAGAGAAATAATTGGTAAAATGAAAAATTAAAATCGATTGATTACGTTTATATTCATACTTTCATTTCTGTTATATAATCATTTAAGTAGTCATTGGTACATGACACGGGTACATAATCATCTGAATTGGAAAAATGGAGGTATGAGGTATGGTAAAGGATGAAGTATTTGAATTATTGTGGTAATCAAAATTTAGAAGGGTAAGGTTCTCATTTCTTTTATAATCATTTATTAAGTAGTCATTGGTACATAAAACAAGTACATAGTTTAATCATTTTCTGTATTAAACAAGTTAACAGTTTTTAATTCATTCAGTTATGTGATGAATGGTTACATAATAGCAATAATTTAAAGTTTACGCGCCGTTTTTGGCCATATCTCAAAAGTTGGTTTTGTCATCATTGGAGGACGGCAGATTAGAACAAAACAAAGGAGCGCGAAACAATCACGTCTGAACAAGTTTTTGGCGCTAAAATCCAGCCTAATACTTTTGCCTAATATTCGGCTATTCGGTCAGGGGCCTCGCCGAATATTCGGTATTCGGTATACTGCCGAATATACTATTCGTTGCAAGACTACTATACACCGATTTTAATTATAGAAGTAAACTCTATAAAAAATAGAGGTACGGTACAAGCTAATATCGCCCTTATGCACTTCTTATGTTTTCCCAGGTTCAAGTCGTGAAGATTCCACAGGGAACCGAACCTGCAGCCTTTAAGCAATACTTCGCTACGTGGAGGGATAACGCAATGCCACATTCAAGAGTCATTTAAATAAAGTAAGTTTCTACGATAAATTAAAGTTGCTATTAAAAAGTTTTCATAGGAGATACGCGGATCTGAGCAAAATCTTAAAGAAATTGACCAATGACATTGCTCAAAATATGTTGTGAGTGTATTTTGAGCTATGCCATTGGTCAATTTCGTTTAGACTCTGAAACTCCGCTTCTGTGGAAATTCAGATCCATACGAAAAATGTGTTTGGATAGTCGGGAAAATTGACGACTTCCGTAATGGTGTGGTATGTAGGCCGATTTTCAAGGTGTCACCTACTCAGAGGTCCTGGGTTCGAACCCGATGGGGCAAAGGATTGTGTGACAAATACGAGCACTTGTAGTTGAGTCATGGCTCTGTATCTCTTAAAAACAAAACCACGCAAATCATATTGACAAAAATATTCAAATAGCAAACATATTATAACCACTTTTGAATCGTCCAAATTTTCTATCTGGGCTGCAAGGTTATGTCAGATTTATTTAACTGACAGTAAAATTTTGTTGCGTATTGTAGGATAATTTTTTTGGTTGAACGCACAAATCTCGGAAACTAATGGTCCGATTTGAAAAAATATATTTGTATTAGATAGTATATTTATTGAGGAAGGCTTACGTCTATATAACATTACGCTGCGGCAAGTTAAAGCGGATTATCGATGTAAGATGTTGCAAAAACGGGTAAAATATTTAATTTGGCAGCTTCCGTTGCGTGCGCTGCGTAAATGATTAAAGTTACACAAAAATCATGTATGGCAGAATTTTATCCTTAAAAAGGTCTAAAACAAGCCGCGATAGCATTATGCCCGTCTTTTAAGTGTGGCTCACTATAATCTTTTTGAAGTTATACTCTTTAGCCGCGTTATGAAAAAAATATGAGAGTGAAATTTTAAGATGCGCGCGCATCACTGTAACACAATAGTAACACCATGAAGTTGGCCGCGGGCGCGTTATGAATGTTAGTGTCTAATAATCCACCATTATTAGACATCTGTTCGAAAGGTACTTTGAACGATCCACGGAGCTCCATAAGATGATCGCGTTGTCAAAAACAATGTTGGCACGCTCGTCGCCTCTGATCACTGTTTTCATATTTATAATATTTATCCACATGTTTCTAGTTTCTATATAGACACAACGTGTTTTAGTTACTTACAAGTGCTAATTACATATGGACTAATAACTTAAATTCAGTAGTGATTTTAATTGAATATTTTGAATATTTATTTAATTTTTCAAATTAAAACTGAACTTAATTGACTGTGTTAACTATCCTTTTCCAGTCCTTTTATTATTTTATTGTAAATATTAATTATTTGCATGCAATTAAAAAATATTTTTAATGATGCTAAAGAAGTATAACTTCGCACGCGCGTACATACATACAAATTAACGCAGGTGAAACCGCAGGGGACCTCTAGTTGGGACATTACTGTAATAGTTACACATTATTATATGGTATCCCGGACTTTTATGTAGAAATTGATGTCCTCTATAAAACTTTAGTACAACACTTTGCTCTACTGTCACTGACTTCCGCAGCGTAAGCGATATAAGGTTATTTTTGGTATTTTTTTCACACCCTCCTGGGTTACGTTATCGAAGTTTTCATACGTAACCCTAACTTTTTTTAAAAATATTCTATAGTCTATGTTCATCAGGGATAATGTATGCTGAAGGTGAAAGAATTTTTCAAATCGGTCCAGTAGTTAGGAGCATATTCAATACAAGCAAACAAATAAATAAATCTTTCCTCTTTATAATATTATACTATAGACTAGCGGTCCGCCCTCGCTTCGCTTCGGTGTAGAGCTGAAGTATAGACTACAGTTTTTGTTGTCAGGCTTGTATTATACACAATGACATTCATCTATGATTCTTCTTATACCTGCATGCAAAGTCTCAGCCCGATCGGTTTAAAATTGACAAAGTTTCATACAAACTTTCATTCCCTATTTTATCCCCTTGGGGGTAGAATTGATCAAAATCCTTTCTTAGCGGATGCCTACGTCATAACATCTACCTGCATGCCAAATTTCAGCCCGATCCGTCCAGTAGTTTGGGCTGTGTGTTGATAAATCACTATGTCAGTCAGTCACCTTTGACTTTTATATACATATATAGATAATAACGGTCATTTTTATTACCTGTATTTATAACCAAACTAAAATTTTCATATTTCCGTTTTCCAGTACTCATTTTCTAAATGATTTATTTGCTAATTTTGTTTACAAATGTTTGGTTTTTATTCTAAGATAAGCACGGTTTCTATATCAATTATTGTCTGTCAATAAGGTCGAACGCTCTGAACGCATCAACAGCCAAATATTGAATGAAGCTCGCTTTCTTTTTTTTTTGTTTCCTCCCAGGCCCCCGCCTGGGAAAAGAGCGGGTGTGAAAACCTCATGGATACCCTACAGCCGGCTGTAGAGTTATGTCAGACTCTTACTGACTAAAACACACCCGTGGGGGGTGCCTATGGCCTTAGCGGCCTTACAGGCTTCATCTGATGCGATCAACCCCTGAGAAGGGGATGATGCAGCGCTGCCTTAGTAAATACTACTGCATAGTGCGCTTAAAGGACGGATGCACCCTGATGTGCATCCGTATCGGTTTGGGACTGAGCGACTGAAGGTCTCTCAGGATCGGGGGGGCGGGGAAGCTCGCTTTCGGACCTCCCGCCTTTTTATACCCTACCGCGCCGCCACGACCCGTGTCGAGCGCGGCAGCCGTTACACAAAAATAATCCTTAAAGCATGATTCAGTGCGACGGCGCGATGGCTTATTTCATGTATAAGTTTGGTGTTTCTATACCGATTTCTATGATTCTTTTTTTATTGAATAGGTAATAATGTTAACTTTTTTAAATTAGGGATGAGTGAGAGTATTATAAACGTAAGAGTAAAAAAATATTTAATCAGAATGCTCCGAACTGCTAAGCTATCAGGAATTACACGTGTTATTGTGAGTCAACCATAAAAGATAGGCATATGCTGTTGCGGAATATTTTTTAGACAATTCTATGTAGAATATTTCCGTCATACATGATTTCTATGTAACTTTAACCATTAAGGCTCCACACGCGACGGAAGCTTAAAAAAATGGAGTAACTTCTCCCGTTTTCCCAACATTTCCCTTCACTACTCTGCTCCTATTGATTGTAGCGTGATGAAAAGTATACTATAACCTGCCCAGGAGTATGAAGAATAATTGTACCAAGTTTCATTAAAATCCGTCGAGTAGTTTTTGTTTCTATAAGGAACATACACACAGACAGACAGACAGACAGACAGACAAAAATTTTACTGATTGCATTTTTGGCATCAGTATCGATCACTTATCACCCCCTGATAGTTATTTTGAAAATATATTTCATGTACAGAATTGACCTCTCTACAGATTTATTATAAGTATAGATAATAATAATAATCTATTTATTTCTCTTAAGAAGGGTTATAAAATCTTATATAATAAAGTACAAAGTATAATCTCTTATCTATTAGACAAGTCCGTCCGTCTGTCTGTGGTGCTGTTTCAGCGGCCAAACCGTAAGAGATAGATAAAGAGAATATGTAAGTTATAAGTTTAGAATAGTCTGATAAGACTACAAACCGGATTTGAGTAACGTAGCACTTCCGGTTTTCGAGAAATCACGAATTTCAAACGAAACCACAAAAATCTCCGAAGTTCTCAATTAATTAATTTGGTTCACTGGTTTGCTAGTTAGCAAATAATTTAACCTTTCCCGAGACTGGTGTCTGCACTAGGTTGTGAAACCTGTCTTACAGATCACCTCTCAACTCATATATTATAATTTTTTCACGAGAGAATAAACGATATGATATATAATAATATACTTAAATTAATGACTATAATTTAACGCTAATAATAACCAAGTTGTGTGTATCTACGCGGGTGTTTGAGTTTGTGTATGTTTGTGCGTGGGTGTGTCTGCGTGGGTGTCTGTTTATGTGTGCGTGTGTGTGTGTTTGTGTGTGTGTGTGTGTGTGTGTGTGTGTGTGTGTGTTTGTAAGCTTGCATGTGGTGCGTGCATGTATGTAATGCACATACATTTGCATAGATAGAATAATTTTGCCTATTACTTAGGTAGCGGTTGAGCAGCTGGCAAATTGACATACACACACTACAATAATGAGTTGCCGCATTTACAGAGCTGTTGTATTTTGACAGTGCGGTATCTATTAGTCGATGGAAGCGAGACCAATCATTCATCTATGAGGTTTAAGTATGCCTTAATTTTGTTAATATTTTTGTTTCAGAAAAGAAATACGTATGTCTTCAGCTGCCGCCGAAGCCGCTGCCAAATATGTACATCTCAAGAAGTAATTTACAATATAAAATATTTATATAAACAATTTTAAGTAAATTTCTTAGACCTACCATAAAAAAAGAAAAATAGTTCTTATGTTTAACAATAATTTCTGAAATATAACGACAAAGAAATCTACTCAAACTGTATACGTGAAACCTTAAAAATAAATCTTATATTTTGTATAATAAAAAATATAAAGAAAATAATTGCTTTTCATTTTAATTGTTCCTTACTATAAAAGAATATTTAAATAAAACTGTGCTTCTTAGTTATATAGCTAGCGGTAATTATTGATAATTTATTCTGAATAGAATTACCTATTTGTTTCGTAGGTTTTCACGAAAACTTTATTTATTTATTGACGTTTCGTAGCCTTTACAGGCTACGTCGTCAGAATAAAACTTTTACTTAATTTGTCGAGCTACCTTCGAAAGACTTTTATTGAGCGTTTGGTTATTTCATTGTTCGATTTTTAAGTTTTATTGTCTATGTATGAATTTATTATTTAATTTACTTTTTAAAGTATTTTATTTAAAATTCTTGTTTGTAATTTTGAGTTTATTTATTTGACCCTAACTACCGTAAACTACCACCGGTTCCAAAATTACCGGAACCAGAACCGGCGAAACAAACTCAAGAGAGGCTTTCTATCTCCTTCTTATGTTAAATTATGCTCAATAAAAGTCTTTCGAAGGTAGCTCGACAAATTAAATATAAAAGTTTTATTCTGACGACGTAACCTGTAAAGGCTACGAAACGTCAATAAATAAATAAAGTTTTCGTGCATTAACCCGTAAAAACTAGTTTTTTTTTAGTAATACCTACTCTGATTAATTAAAAATCTGTATATATTTCTATATTCTCCGCCCCTCTAGCATAACCACCGAAACGGGATATGATAAAGCGATATATCGGCTTTAACTGTCAGACTACAGTGGAGTTTGACAGTAGTCTGACAGTTAATGCCAATATATCGCTTTATCATATCCCGTTTAGGTGGTCATGCTAGAGGGGCTTGTATATATTATGGTAAGGTAACGAATTTGTTTACGAATACTTTCGATGAAACGTCAAAAGTGACAACTCATACTAAGCAAATAGCAAAAAAACTACTCTGAAACTTCAATCGAAATCGAAAAGTATTAACGAAATTAACTAATAATGCCGATTAAAGTTCATTACAGTTTCCGCTAGAGTATGAAAATTCGTTACTGACTGATCTGTCAACGCACAGCTTCAACCACCGAACAGATTGCACAGAAAGACACAAATAATATCGTAGCTCTTATGATGTAGTTTGTATGTGGTCCAATATATGCCTATGTCGCCCGCGAGTTCATCTCTAAAGAATAGATTTTCCAATCGAACATTAAAATCTTCAGACCTACCTACCCCTAGCTCGAACCATTATCGAATTCGAATAGTTTGCAAACCGGATAAAGCCGAGCCGATTTTGGGGGATAAAGCCGAGCGCGTCCGTGGGCTTTAGCTCTAGATACCCACACGTGTCCCCTGGGTAGCGCCAAATGCTCGGCACATCACCGGTGGTAGGTTTCGACCGTGGCTGGTAACCACCCTCTAGGCAAAGCCGAGCCAAACGACTTCCATCGTGTTTCGGCTCGATGCCTGGTGTTGCCGTTTGGGGGGGGGGGGGGGGGGGAGTCCGAGCAGTTGCGATGTAGAGCTTGCCGGCTTCGGTGCTGCGTGATTGCTGCGCTGGGTGGCTGATCGCGGAGGGTAGCGGGATCCTAAGCACGGTTCTCCGCTGGCCGACCGCAGGTAGTAGGGGGCCCAAGTAGTAGGAAAGCCACCTACGAAAGGCTGCCCCGCCAACTCGCGAAAAATCCCAGGGTGCGCCATCGTGCCGGTTGGCGACCGGATGCGAGGGCCCGATGGACACCTTTGGGGGGGTTAGGGCGTCCCCGCGCGCTCCAGCTCAGTCACTCGTCTGTGTGGCGTCATAACTGCATCGCTTGGCAGTAGCTTAACAGAGTCTCGCTCATCTGTCGCCTTCCTGCCTGTTCACTCTCTTCTTATGAAAAAAATATGAACGTTAAAAGAAAGAAACTGGCGAAACAGCGGATGCACTCCCTCGCACTAAAAGTGCACCTTGCTAACATCCGAGGATTGCACTCAAATATCGATAGTGTCCATCACCACCTTGAGACCGATAAACCACATCTGCTGTTCCTCACCGAGACTCAAATAAGATGCCCGACTGACGCAGCTTACTTGCATTACCCAGGTTACATCCTGGAGCACAATTTTAAATCGCGCGCTGGCACCTGCGTGTATGCTCGTGATGACATCTGCTGCCAACGTCTCCGCAACCTTGAGGATCCCAGTTTCTCTACATTATGGGTGCTGGTGAACACAGGTATAGAGCAAATACTCTATGCCAGTGTTTATCGGTCGCACACAGAGAACATGGAGACAACCAGGTTTTTTCAGTACCTCAGCGCCTCCGCTGAAACAGCCCAGCAAAGGTACCCGAGTGCGCAGCTAGTCGTTCTGGGGGACTTTAACGCACACCACCATGAGTGGTTGTTCCCGTTCCAGAAAACCGACCATGCCGGGAGATTAGCGCACACATTTGCTATGTCGCTAGGTCTCTCCCAGCTTGTGAAGGGCGCTACACGTGTACCCGATATTGATGGCCACACACCAAACTGCCTGGACCTTCTGCTGTCAACAGACCCGGACCGTTACCAGGTGGTAATTTCGTCTCCTTTAGGGAGTTCCGACCACTGTTTGGTGAAGTCCGTATCAGTCTACTCTCCAAGCGACCCGGAACCTATCGGAACTAGGCGTGTTTGGCGATATGGTTCAGCAGACTGGGATGAGTTGCGGCATTTCTTTGCATCTTATCCTTGGCGTCGCACTTGCTTTTCTTCGGACGACCCGACTTGGTGCGCGGATGCCATTGCTGGCGTGATGCGTCAGGCTATGGAGTACTTTATTCCATACTCTGACGTACCGCGCCGGTTTAGCGCCCGCCCTTGGTTTGACGCGGACTGTGCTAAAGCAGAGACGCTTAAGCATTTTGCGTATCGCTCCTGGGCGGATGCTCGAGCCCGCAAATCACCAAATGTTCGAAGTCTGAAGAAGGCCTTTAACAGTGCCGCCAAGTCCTGTAAAGGTGTTATCCGCAAGGCCCGCTTCGATCACATTGGCCGTATAGGAGCCAAATTAGCCTCCTTTCCATCCGGAAGCAAAGCTTTCTGGTCCCTAGCCAAAACAGTCGAAGCCAATTTTTGCCGGTCGTCGCTGCCGCCTTTAATTAAGCCTGACGGATCGCTGGCTCACACCTCCAAAGAGAAGGCTGACTTGTTTGCCTCTATATTTGCGAACAACTCACAGCTAGATGCTGCTGGCGAAAACCCACCTAAGCTTCCTCAGTGTTCTTCTACCATGTTGGAAGTTCGCATCCATCAGAAAGAGGTACTCAAAGCGCTAAGCACTCTAGACGTGAATAAAGCCAGTGGGCCGGATGGCATTCCAGCTATTGTCCTGCGGAATTGTGCCCCTGAGTTGTCTCCTATTCTGACTCGCCTATATCGCTTATCCCTTGAGATTGGCCAAGTTCCGAAAACCTGGAAGCTTGCCAATGTCCAACCAGTGCCCAAAAAGGGTAGTCGTGCCGACCCTGCCAACTATCGACCTATTGCAATCACCTCCATACTCTGTAAGATTATGGAGCGTGTATTGAACAACCGTCTCCTCGCTTACCTCGAAGATAACGATCTCCTCAGTGACTGCCAATTCGGTTTCCGCCGTGGGCGATCTACTGGGGATCTTCTTGTGTATGCTACCCACTTATGGAGTGAAGCCATAGAGAAACGCGGCGAAGCTCTCGCCGTTTCTCTTGATATTTCTAAGGCTTTTGACAGGGTCTGGCATGCAAGTCTCATTGGCAAGCTTCCTTCATATGGAATCGCTGTCGGACTTTGCAACTGGATTGCAGATTTTCTAGGGGGCAGATCGATACGAGTGGTCATTAATGGCACATCGTCGGATCTGCTTGGTATTAATGCCGGTGTCCCCCAGGGATCTGTCCTCTCCGCAACTCTTTTCTTGCTGCACATCAATGATCTGCTCCTAACTCCCGGTATCTTTGGGTATGCAGACGACAGCACAGTTTCGGGGAGATATCTGACTGATATGAAGTCTGATGCAGATGTCCGATCATTAAGGGAGGCGATGGTGGAGGGAGTGAATGCAACCCTAGAAGCTGTTTCCCTCTGGGGTGAAGCCAACTTGGTTGGATTCAATCCCTCTAAAACACAGGCCTGTCTCTTCTCGACGAAACGGAGTCCATTCCATCTGACTCCGACTTTCCGAAATGTCTTCGTGCCGGTTAAAGACCATCTCGAGCTCTTGGGTATGGACATCTCATCCAGCCTCAATTTCGGTCGTTACATCGAGTCCATTGCTAAAACCGCTGCCAGAAAACTTGGAATACTTTCTAAGGTCAGGCGATATTTTACATCTGAGCAGCTCCTTAACCTTTACCGAGCCCAAGTTCGCTCCTGCTTGGAGTACTGTTGTCACCTTTGGGACGGATCTGCTCGGTATCAGCTAGATGCACTGGACTCGGTGGAACACCGTGCGAAGAGACTCATAGGCAATGACGCTCTCGTTGAGGCTAATCTTCAGAGCCTTGACCACCGAAGACGTGTAGCTTGCCTTTCGGTGTTTTATCGGTTACATTTCGGAGAATGTGCGGAGGTATTACATAATTTGATCCCCCCTTCCCCTTTCCACCACCGGACGACCAGGCGCGGCGAGGGCTTCCACCCTTATGTTGTCGAAGTTCCTCCCATTCGCACGAAGCGATTTGCTTCGGCCTTCATTATACGAACGGCTAGGGAGTGGAACTCCTTGCCGAGGTCTGTTTTCCCGGACCAATATAACCTGGACATCTTCAAGGCCAGAGTGAACAGGCATCTTCTAGGCAGGCGTGTACCATCCTAGGCCTCATCATCGCTTTCCATCAGGTGAGATTGTGGTCAAACGCATTGCCTATCTAGCATAAAAAAAAAAAAAACCGAAATGTCAATGTCTAATTTTGTATGGAAACTTGAACAGCAGCGGCACAAAGTACGTAACGAGAACTAAAAATCAGAACACATCTAACAATGACATTTCGGACTCGCAAACGATACGAATTCGATATTGGTTCATGCTAGGGGTACTGTTAACGCACAGGTCCAACCACTGAACAGATTGCACAGAAAGACACAAATAATAGCTCTTATGATGTGGTTTGTATGTGGTCCAATACATGACTATGTCGCCCGCGAGTTCATCTCTAAAGAATAGATTTTCTAATCGAACATTAAAATCTTTATTTTCTCTTTCCTTCTTTGTAACGAAGGAACTCAAAAACTCGCGGACAGATTTCCAAAAAAAAACGTCACATTATATTTGAGTGACAGGCTATATTTTAATTTAAATATTTCGCATGTGCAAAGCTAGGACGAGTCGCTAGTATATTTAAAAAAGAAATATTATTCTATTTCGCTCGTTTTAATAACCTTTTCAACACATTTGCTCGATAATGCATTTACAGAGGTAGTATACGTTGTTCGAAAGTTCGAAATTACGGGCCATACAACGGAGCGCGTGGTAAAACATTTTACCGTACGCTCCCATACACGACGCCGTGCGTATCCTTTACGGTACCTCTAGCACGAACCAATATCGAATTCGAATAGTTTGCGAGTGCGAAATATCATTGTTAAATATGTACTGATTTTTAGATCTCGATATGTCAGTTGTGTCGCTGCTATTCGAGTGGAAAAGAAATGTCAATGTCAAATCTTATATTACAATACAAGATTTGATATTGAAATTTCGCACTCGCAAACTATTCCAATTCGATATTAGTTCGTGCTAGGGGTACAGTTTTTAAATTTCGGTCGAACCTTCTCGAAAGCGCTTTTAACCTATACCTTTTTCGTACTTTAATACGTGTGAAGTTCTAATTTTCACTACCCGCACGTGGCGCCATTTGGAAATTCGCGCCATTCCCTTATTAGAAAAAACAATTTCCTTCATTCCATAAATGAGGTATAGGTAGGTACTTTTTTTTTTTGAATTTGCACACTAGCTTAGCATAAACAGGCACCGCACTCGGATAAAAGTGCGAAGACCCGGTCTACACACGACACGCTATGCCAGCAACAGGTACGTACCTGGACGTTTTTCCCAGCCCCCCACGACAACGGCTAACTAGAGCCGAGGTCCGAGTCTCAGAGACGCCCTCTAGTTGAGCCGACCCCTCAGGTTCGAGTGGTCTACAGGCTCCAAACGGAGAGGAGACTCCCCCCGTGGGAAGACGCCATCCGCCTGGAATACCTCTAGAGGCACTCGCCAATTCTCGGCTTGAGGTCCCCTTAGGATCTCGCCGTCCCCAAACCCGGTGACTAAGGCATTGTCCTAATACAACGCGATAACGCGAATGAGCGATGCGATCATCGTACGATTCGACGATCAAACATATTGATCTAGAATAGGTGTCCTAATAGGCGATCGCGCGATGCATTCGCGCGACTAAAATGTTTAAAAATCTATTCGCGTGATCTTAGTTCGCGCGAACGCGCAATCAAACCTATTAACGATGAATAGGTGTCCTAACTGAACATCGCGCGATGATTGCGTCGCGTCGATAGGAAGCGGGGAGAGGGGCAGGGCTAACCCGTTCCGTATTCGCGTTCTATTAGGACACCCAGTTCGCGATCACGCGATGGTCGCGTCGTTTAATCGCGCGATGATCGCGTTATCGCGTTGTATTAGGACAATGCCTTAAGGTCATCTGCAACCAACAACATACACACTTTAAAAAAAACTTTTTTATCGCAAATGTGTTGGAAAACACATTTGCGTGGATTGGTATTTCCAAACTCGTGGCTTCTTCTCGTTTAAAATAACCATCTAACCGTACTAATATCACAAATAACTATTTCGTTACCTTTCTCTCATAATTAAGAGAATCAGTAAAATTTGGTCAATTAGACAAAGAATCAAACTACTAAGGACATCGTTAATCTAAACGACACGACGTTTAAGGAAAAAAATCTCTTAAACTGGTCTGTGTCTTGTGCCAATGACATTTTTACAAACATAAATATGTTAAAGTTTGTAATATCTTAACACAAGGTAATTGAGTCGAAAATTGCATAATATATGTATGTAATTACTTCAAAATTTATTCACGGAGACGAGTTAGGTTTAGTGTCTATCTACAAGATAGTACGATTTTATGACAATGCTACGTTGTACGATACAATGTATTACTATTTAATAATAAATTTATTAAAAAGTAATTCTATTTGAATAAAAAAATCTTTTTTACTAGAAAAATTCCACGTGAACCACGCTGCAGATCGGATCCGAACCCACACCCTTCGCTATCCGGTGCGGGTTCGGGTCCCATCTGATTTTTTGTAGTAATGTTTTCTTTAGATTTAGACATCGAGCAGTTACATGCTTAAAAAATTAAAATTATAAATTCTTTTTTTCTACACATGACTAATAATTCTTAATGTACCTATAGATTATTATGGTGGATATAATTTTATTATATTGATATAGAAAAAAGAAAATGAGAATTATTACTGGACTGTTCTGTGTCTAAAAACAAAGATTTCTTAATTTGACTTGTTAAAATTCAGCCCACTTTAAGCAATCTTCTCTTTGGCGACATCAAGCTACTACAACTTGCTTATTTATATTTTATCGCTCGCTCTATTCAATGGACACTGGAACTTACAACAAAACGTAGCTTCTCAAGTAAGGTTAACCGATAGCAATTATTCTACTCTTTGATTACAGTCTTGTCGCGACTCGCGACTAAGTGACCGCACCTACCTACCCACAACAAATAAAAAATGATTAAAATATGTTCGTTAAATCTGTTATTGTTTGTGACTATCGGTATATGCAAATATAGTGTTTATGCAAGAAAGCACGAGAAATTAAAGGAAGTCTTTTCGTGGAAACAGATCGGATACAAAATAAACGGGTATTCGTGTGAGTACTTCATCATCATCATCATTATCAGCCTATTAATGTCTCCACTGCGAGGGCACCACCACGCGGTCCCTGGTGGGTGCAAACGACTGGATATGCAGCTAAACCCACGGCTTAACGTGCCTTCTGAACCAACGGATTAACGTGCCTTCTGAACCAACGGCTTAACGTGCCTTCTGTACCAATGGCTTAACGGGCCTTCCGAAAATAATATGTTGTTAAAGTAAATAACACAAACAGCTTTCCTGTAAATATGACTGAAGGTACAGCACAGGGTTCCGTGCTAGGACCACTGCACTACCTGACTTATTGTCAATAGCTTACCCAATCTAATCACAGAATGTGACATACACTCGGCCTCAAAAAAATCGCTGAGCGAGCTCAGAGAGGCATTTTAAAAGTAGCCAATTCACTTCCCTTCTTATATCCTACGCACCAACTTTACAAATTCTGTAATGCGTTAACTGTTCGCCAGCTTTTCATTATGCACACCATATTAAAACAACACACATTTCACCATTTTGCTCTGATATCACTAACAAAAGACGGAAAGATATAGTCTGCATCTCTACACATGATTCAAAATACATCTTTTCACATAGATTCTCTACTTTCCTAAGTCCTTTCTTATATAATAAGTTAAATAGAGTGTTAAGTATTTATACATTAAACTATTTTAACTGTAGAAATGTAGTATTTAATTATTTGCACAGCCTGACATACGAGCAGACCGAAGAATTACTTCTTATTTGTAAATATTTTATAAATAAATGAACGTAACTCCATAATTTACATCTACCAACATTTATACAATGATAACTTAAAGTACTATTTTAATTAATTTGTTAATTTATTAATCATTCAATGTATTATTTCATTATAAAAGCCTGAAATACAGGTACAATTTTACCTGTAACCTAGTTCAGGCATCCATTATTTTGTACTTTATATTATTATTAGTATTATTATTATGCACTGTATGACCTTATTTGAAAAAATATATATTTTATTATTATTATTATAACCCATATCACGCGCATTTATCCCAACCAATATTGGTGTTATTTGAATGCCCATTAAGCCAAATAAACTTAATGCCTCGCATGAAGCCAGTGTGAGCTGATAGTGGAGTACCATACCTATCAATTTAACCCCCATGTATGTTCTACGATTTTTCGTAGTTTTCGAGTTAGATTTTTTTTCGTTATTTTTTAAGTTCAACGATGAGAGACAACTTTGAAAAAGTATAACTTCCTCTCGGGTCTATTTTTCTTCGATTTTTTTTAAGAGAATGCCTTAAAAAAATTAATTAGTAAGACAGAATGGATTTTCATTTAAAATAAAATTAATGAAACAGTTGATTATTTCACCGAACTCGAAGCGGTTTTAGAATCTTTGGGATCTGAGTATGCACATTTGATCATCATGGGCGATTTTAATACCAATCTCCTATCTCCCGAATCCCCACGGTCCCGAAAACTCCTTCACATTGTCCAGTCCGCAAGCCTACATGTTTTGCCCCTTCAACCAACTCACCTAAATACTTTCGGTGATGATACATGGCTTGATTTAATCCTAACCTCTAATCCTTCCCTTGTTCCATCCCATGGTCAACATATCGCTCCTGGCTTCTCTCATCATGACCTCATCTTCCTTTCGTATCTCTTTAAACCCCCCAAATCCACTCCCAAGGTTTTGCACAGGCGCTCCTACGCACGTATGGACTTAGTTAAACTGCAGAAGCATGTCTCTGAGATCAACTGGGACTCTCTGATTCTAGCTTTCACTGTTGATGACAAAGTAAAAATATTTAATGACACTCTGCTTAGAATTTACGATGTCCATGCGCCCATCAGAAAAGTCAGGCTGAAGCGGCAACCAGCCCCTTGGATGACTGAAGGTGTTCAGATGGCGATGAGGCGTAGGGACCGTACATATCGCAGCTACAGAAGGGATCGTTCTGATGAAAAGAGGAAGCTTTACAAGGCTGCTAGAAATCGTTGTAATCAGATGATACGTAATGCCAAACGCCGACACATTCTCAACAACCTTTCTTCTTCATCTTCTGCTGATATCTGGAAGTTCCTCGGAACGCTAGGTATCGGCAAATCGCGACATTTAGACCTGTCTAATTCTATAAACCTTAACGATCTCAATCGACATTTCACAACCTCTCAGAAATTGGATCGTTCATCTACAGCATCCACCGTTGCTTTTATAAATGGTTTAACGCGCCCTAATGTTGACCCTTTCTATTTTTCACCAGTCACACCGGCAGAGATCAAAAAGATAATACTTTCAATTAAATCTAATGCAACGGGATGTGATAATATTAGCCGTCGCATGATCGTCACTATTCTTGAATATCTTCTTCCCGCTATAACACACATTATCAATTTCTCCCTTGACACTGGTACTTTCCCTATTCTATGGCGTAAAGCCTATCTCCGGCCTCTTCCCAAAGTTAATAATCCAACGCAGCCTAATCAGTTTCGACCAATTTCCATCCTCCCCTTCATGTCAAAAGTGCTAGAAGCATGCGTTCACAAACAATTCTCCCAATTTATTCATAAAAACTCTCTAATGAACCCTCTCCAATCTGGATTTAGGCCTGGACATAGCACTATTTCCGCCCTCCTTAAAGTGACTGGCGATGTTAGGGCGGGGATGGAGAACGGTAAAGTTACTTGCTTGGTTCTTATCGATTTTTCAAACGCTTTTAATACTGTCAGTCACGATATTCTCCTTTCCATATTATCCTATCTTATGGTCTCTGACGAAGTGTTGACTTGGTTTTCATCTTATCTTCGGGACCGCCAGCAGTTGGTGCAGTCTGGGGGATCATCCTCATCCTGGCTCAATTTGAAAACTGGTGTTCCCCAAGGCGGTATTCTTTCTCCTCTTCTTTTTTCAACTTTTATTGATTTTATAACTCACAAACTTCAGTGTTTGTATCATCTATATGCTGATGACCTACAACTCTACACCGAAGCAAGTATTGATGATTTAAACAATGCCATTGATGCGATAAACAGTGACTTAAAGGCTATCAAAACATGGTCAGACAATTTTGGTGTCACTGTCAATGCTGCTAAATGCCAAGCTATGTTAATAGGTGGATCAAGAATGATGAGCAGAATTGACAGAAACATTCTTGGGTCTATATTCTATGACGGCACTTTGATACCTTTTAGTAATGTTGCAAAAAATCTTGGTTTGTATGTTGACTCAAATTTCAAATGGCAGGATCAGGTAGGTAGTGTCTGTCAAAAGGTAACTGGAACATTGCGTGCTCTCTACCGCTTGAAAAATTTTTTGCCTATCAACATCAAGGCAATGCTTGTGCAAACTTTGATTTTTCCTATAATCGACTATGGTGATGTGTGCTACCTCGATCTGAATGCAGATCTACTCAATAAACTTGATCGACTTCAGAATAACTGCATTCGATTTGTTTTCAATCTTAGAAAATATGACCATGTGTCCGCATACCGATCTCTTCTAAAATGGATGCCTATTAGGCAGCGCAGAAGTATGCGGGCTCTGACCACTCTGTTCTCCTTGCTGGATTCTCCAAATGCCCCTTTCTATCTCACTTCCCAATTTCAGTACTTATGTACCGCTCATTCTAAAAATCTTCGATCCTCTTCTAATCGCTTACTTATTGTTCCATCTCATCGCTCTGATACGATTCACTCATCCTTCTTCGTCAAAACCATACTTCTGTGGAACGAACTCCCTCTAGATATCAGAATGTCCACCAACAAAATCAGCTTCAAAACCAAGCTACGAAGCTTTTTACAAGAACAAGCAGTCTAGCCTAAACGTTAGTCGTCATTATTATGTATTTATTTAGTATATATGTTTATGTGTGTATGTATGTGTGAATATATATGTATGTTTATTTATATGTAAGTACTTATTTATGTATGTGTAATTATATATATGACTACTTCGTATTTATATCTGTTCGTCTTTTTTTTCCATCTAATTTGTGCACCCTACCACTATTTATCCACAACACCCTATGGTTGACTGGTAGAGAATGCCTATGGCATTAAGTCCGCCTTTGTACACTTGTGCATTAAGTATAAATAAATAAATAAATAAATAAATGAAAATAGATCTTCCGTAACTTCTGACTAATTTTATAAATTGCCCGACTGCATAAGCAACAATATGTAACAACAAGAAATAAGCGATATAACGGTCTTCAGAAGACGGGCAAACCGATAGAGGTGTGCCCATGGTCACAATACATACAAGAGCAGTAGCGTAACTCAGCCGTTTTCTTGAAATAGATACCTACGACTGAGCGGAGCGCTAGGGTTGGTACCTACAAAATGTAAAACATATTTGTGTAGATTTTTATTGTATATGTATAGTTACTATTGCCACGTTACGGAATCGAAACGGACGCAGATTTCGCAGGCGGCGCGGCGCAGCCAGCTTAACTCGGCCATCAACCAGTCTCGGCGGCGCGCGACGTGGCACTGCGTAGATTTGTGTAGGCAAGATTGGTTAGCGGCCGTGTAAACGACGTTTGTCTGTGTGCGTGCGTCGATTCGGTCGCTAATATGAAGTCGGAGTACTGCTCTTGTATGTTTTGTGCCATGGTGCTGCAAGTAGGCAACCCTACTATATAATACAGTACTACTATATCAGGGGATCAAATACTATCATCAATCATCATCAACAGCCTATCTTAGTCCACTGCTGGACATAGGCCTCTCTAAATGCACGCCACTCAGATCGATCTTGGGCTACTCGCATCCAGCTCCTGCCAGCCACACTCCATCGCGCCTACCACCGTCCTACACTACATTTGACTAGACGCAGTCTCCACTCCAGAACTCGTCTACCCCAACGGTTAACAGTTCTTCGACAAATGTGGCCAGCCCACTGCCACTTCAACTTGCTAATGCAAGCGTTTGCCTGCACAACAATAAAAAAAAATGCTAAATAATCTATTCAAAGTATTTATAAGGTACTTTCCTTCCATATCGTCAGAAAACTTCGTCAGTTTCGGGATGCGCGAAGTAATTAGATGAATGTGCTTTTTCAGATAGAAACAGCAGTGATTATGAATATAAACCCCACGCGGTATACTTTGAAGAGGACCTGGAAGAGCGAGAGAGGTTCTTCATACAACCCAATAATGTGCCCATAGGGTTTGAAGTGTACAATGAGAAGATATTTGTGACTGTACCTAGGAGAAGATATGGTGAGAATTATTAAAGTCAAACTTTTATAACATCGCCACAATTTTTCCGTTCAACTTTAACGAGACGCATTAAATTTTCAATTGTTATAATTTTTATTATTTTAAAGCATGTAACTGCTTGATGTTTAAATCTAAAGAAAATATAACTAGAAAAAAATCCACGCGGACCAGGCAGCAGACGGGACTCGAACCTCGACCCTTCGCAATCCGGGCGAATGCACTGACCAATTATGCTACCGCGGCCCTCACGGACCGCGTCGAAATTCTTCTAGCCATTCTTAAGCTGCAAGGCAGCGCCATCTCTTCGCATTATAGGTAACCCACAATGTCAAATGAATACTTACTTTTTACAAGTATTAAACATTTGAAAGAAGAAATAGCAATTAGTGTTAATAAAATAAAAAATAAATAATACTACCAAAAGGTACTGTGACTTTATTGTTACAACTTTTGACTTTATGATAACAATAAAGTCACAATACCTTTTGGTAGTGTTGTATTTCTGTTGGTGAGTAAGATTTTATGAAAAAATTATTAAGTTTTTATGAAACTTTAAAATCATTAATAAGAAATAGTCCTTCATCACCTGGGATTCGAACCCGGGCCGCCTGCGTAGGAGACGATCTTTCTACCACTGTACCAACGATGCTTGTTGATAAGGTCTGAATTTGTAATAACAAATCAGGAGCTCGATGGCGTAGATGGTTAGCGCCTTCGGCTACGATCGTTGAAGTTAAGCAACTTTCGCAGTGGTCGGATCATTAGATCCCCGTCCCCAAATAAATATATAACAAATACCCTTGTTATTTTTAAATACATATACATATTTATTGTTTATTTTATGCATGTTTTTATTCATTTGGTTGATTGCAGGTACATGAATGTTTTTTAGACTCGTACCCAATTAGTGATTTTTCTCGGGTAATGTCAGGTTTTCATTCCTTTCACCCGCTTTGTTTCATTACCTAAGATTGAAGACTATTTCATCAATGTTCTTTTTTTCTTTATATGTTTTCTTTTTGGTAAATAAGGTTTACTTATGTTATTCAGCTGTGTACATTTTTGCTGGCCTTTGGCTGTTTAATGTACCTTTACAAATAAAATAAAAATAAAAATCTCGAGCTCCTCCCTGCTTCGGAAGGCACGTTAAGCCATTGGTCCCGGCTGCATCTGCAGTCGTTAGCAACGGCCAATCTGGACTGCGCCCGCGTGGTGGGTCATTGCTCAATCCCCCTATCGATAAGGAAGGCCTGTGACCCAGCAGTGGGGACATCAATAGGATGATGATGAGTTACTATAACATTGAATATTGTACGCTATTATATAAATGTGTACTTTAACTGTAATACTTAGCAGTTGTACTGTAATAAATGTTAAAATCACAGACATACATTCAAATGTTTACTACGCTCATTCTCATAGCAGTCATCATATGTCCGTTTTTATTACCCACACAAACTGTAAAGGTTAAACCTTTTTAAATGTTTTTTTTTTGACGTCTATTGTCAAATGATACTTTAAGTGTCGCCACACACGGGCCACCGACCACAACCACAAAACGCCGCCACCAACATATTTCTTGTAGTTTTCATACATTTTATATGGACTCACACGGTACGCCGGTGGCCGCCATACGCTACAAATCGTCGTTGCTCGCATCTTGTGGCCCGCACCGGCCACTTAATGCGCCGATACAAAACGCCGCCACACGTCACTCGAGCGATTCCCCACCCCTCTCTCCCTTACCTTAGTCGGCCGCTGTCGCGCGCTTCAGCCACTTTAGTAGCCGCTTCTAGCTTCTCGTGGCGGCGTTTGAGGCTGTGGCGTGTGGCCCGTGTGCGGCGACACTAAGAGAAGTAGTGCAAAGCGGGTTACCTGCTCGAATTCGAGCGCTCAGCTGGCGTAAGGCGGAGGTCACTTCCCCAGCCGGGCGCTCGAATTTTCAGCGTTAGCTACTGTTGTTCCATATCTCACGGTATTTGCCAATGAGCGACAGTAATAGTTTTTTCAAATACCTACGTATTTCTCAAATGTCTCTCAGCTCGCGTCCGCTCTTAACCCAACGTGAACGTAGACTAGTACTACTGCTTAAAGCTTGAAGAAGACCACAGTTGACTATACGTTGAAGCTCTATCGATTATTATGGACGAAGTAAGACATGTTGATGAGTGATGGCGAGTGCCGACAAGCAACGCAAAAAAAGTCTATTTACGGTGGCGCTTACCTTTCCTCGTCCAATTAAGCAAGCGACGCCGAGCAACCATAAAGCAAGACAAATATGCTATCTATTCGTTGGTATTGGTCTTCGCTTGACCAACATTCATATATAGGCGGCGTAAAAAGATAAAAAACTAGGATACACTCAGTAGTTTAAATGCTATTTCCAACTTTTCTGCAAAAGATCATTAAACACCTAAATCTTGTATATTGACAGGAATACCCTCGACGTTGAACTACGTGACCAGGGGAGAGAAGTCTCCCTACCTGAAGCCGTACCCTGACATGATGAGGAGCAGGCATCTGTTCTCGGTGTACAGGCCCAGGGTGGACGTTTGTGATCGACTGTGGATGGTAGACACGGGACATCTAGAAGTACCTAGTGAGTGTTTTTTTCATTTACCGTCAACCTATTAATGTCACCTGCTGGGGCACAGACCTTTTTTCTACTCATTTCTGGAATCATCATCGATATTGAATATTGTACGTCCGAAACAGGCAGCTGTTTGTAACTAAGACATTACTTGTAACACCTTGCAATGCAGACTGGTTAGCACCCTTTTTTTTGTGTCTGGAAAATGCCTTACGCATCCTTCAACCACTAGGGAGCGAGAAGAAGGTATGTGGGACTCCTCCCTGTCCTCTTCAGCCAGCCCTGGAGCTCGCTGATGTGAACAGGGCCCTACCTACGCCCTGAACAGGGTCACTAAAAACCAGACAATACTCCTGCACCGTCACCCGACACGCACTATGAGGACCGCGGTCCCCCTAGTGCCGAGAGGGTGGGTGTGGTCGCGGAACCCGTCTCCGAATGGCCGCGCACCCGCCAGGTAGACTGGTTAGCACCTACCCAGCATTACCCTCTCATGTCCTGAGTTGAGGGAGGGATGGAGAGACTACGCTCCCACACCCGCCCGCTAACTCCCGGAGAAGCGGGAGGGGGACCTTTGTTCTCTACGTCCCTCTTTCTCCGTCCAAATCTCTGTCCAAATTTTTTTTCCCTACCACTTGTTATTGGACATATTTTTTAGCTGCGGAAAAAAGGAGCGAAAGAAACTCCACAACATTAAAAGTATAATGTAACAACATTTACAAATTTACAACGTCAATAGTATCCTAGTTCTCTCCGTCCCTCTCTCATCGCAGGAGATGAGAGGGGACACGCAGGCGACAGAAGACGGTGGAGAGTCCTAACAACCTAAGCTACTCGGATATATCCGCCTCGGGGGGTTACGCAACGATCTGTTTGCCAGCTGTTTTGCGGCTGGGCCACAGACCTATCCTAGAAACTAAATAAGAAGAACAAGCTAAGACCTACTAAGCAAGCGGACCCTTGGTAGATTGCTCGGTGCTGGGTGGGTGCTAACGACTGCAGATGCAGCGTAAACCAACAAATCAACGAGTCTCGAAGCACGGAAGAGCTTGAGATAATGTTTGGTCACTTATCTTATGTATGACCATATCATCATCATCATCATCATAATCATCATCAGCCCATTAATGTCCCCACTGCTGGGGCACAGGCCTTCCCTATGGATGGATTAGGGAGATTGGACCATGACCCACCACGCGGACCCAGTGCGGGTCTGTGGGTGCTAACGACTGCAGATGCAGCCGGGACCAACGGCTTAACGTGCCTTCCGAAGCACGGATGAGCTCGAAATAGTAAATTTTTGGTCACCCATCCAATGACCGACCACTGCGAAAGTTGCTCAACTTCCACGACCGCAGCCGAACGCGTTTACCACTGGCGCCATCGAGCTCCTCGAAGTATGACCTTATATTCTCTCTCAATATCAGATGTATCCTTAAAGCGTAGTAGTTCATACAATGCGACAGATTAACCTGTTGAGCTCATCTTTCCATCTTTGTCATGTCTTAATTCAAATAGAGATAGACGAGGTTTAAACAGGATTAGTTTTAAAACTTAATTTAAAAAAAATGGTTGTCTGTAAAGTCGTTTTACGGACGATAGTTTTACGTGATAACGTCATAAAGAAACATTGATGAAAAATTACATAACTGATAGCTCTGACGTCACGCGGGAAGAGAGATAAATGTGTACAAGACCACGCTTGGGTCGATCGTGCCTCTCTATCGCTTGTTCTGCGCTTTCGCTTGCACGCTCAGGCTTAGGCAGAACGTGACACTTCTTCGTGCGTGCAGCCGGTGTTCATCTATATATATAAAACTCAAAGGTGACTGACTGACATAGTGATCTATCAACGCACAGCCCAAACTACTGGACAGATCGGGCTGAAATTTGGCATGCAGGTAGATGTTATCTTATTTTGATCAATTCTACCCCCAAGGGGATAAAATAGGGAATGAAAGTTTGTATGAACTTTGTCAATTTTAAAGCAATCGAGCTGAGACTTTGCATGCAGGTATAAGAAGAATCATAGATGAATGTCATTGTGTATAATACAAACCTGAGAACAAAAACAGTAGTCTACACTTCAGCTCTACACCGAAGCGAAGCGAGGACGGGCCGCTAGTCGATTTATAAGACATTATCTCGTCAAAACTATAGTGCATGAAGGGCCTTAGAATATTAAACAAGTATTACAATGTCCTTTGGCCGGTCCTTACAAAAATTGCTTAGCTTAATACAATTGGAGCTTTCAAGCTAATGAAATTGTCTGTTTCTCAGATGACAGAAGGCAAATACAGCCGCCGTCCATCGTGATCTTTGACTTGAAGACCGACACCCAAATACATAAACACGTACTTGATCCTTCTGTACTTGTCAGCAATAGAACTTCAGCGGGTAGGTACCTTAACTATTTTCTATAGTAACAAGTTTTTACTGCGTCATGGTAAGGACAGGATAAATCACAGAATACAGAAAGAGGTTGGAAATAGAATAAATTCACATTCAAATGCTTTATTGTGAATGGTGTAATGAAGGTTAGTACAGCAAATTGGTGTTAAGTTAAAAGTTTAGTGTCACTACATTTCGACCTTATTACAAGGTATACAATATTTTTTATGAAATAATTAGGTTTACAATTATATAAAAATCCATATTAATAAATAACAATTACAATGAAACAAGTCATAGTTAGAATTAAATGTCAAAATATGTTTATGTCAAAATTACTAAGCAATATGTCAAACTAAAAATTAATAATAATAATAAATGGTGCTATAATAGACTAAAATATAAGTTAATTAGGTAATTATGTCCATTTCTTTCAAGGAAGTGTCACTAAGGAACTCTTGTGTATTATAGTATACTTTGTCAATCAATAGTTTCATTAAGCGTTTCTTAAAAATAGTCATTAGCAAACTCTTTATGTTATTGGGTATTTTGTTAAAAATTGTAGTAGCCATCCCAAAGACACTATTGCTAAATAGTGCAGTTTTCTGTTCCATCGCACATAATGTAGTCCCTATCCCTCGTCTATAGTTCCTATGCGAATTCTGTTCTATAAATGTAGGAAACATATGGAAGTTATTTTTGACGAACACTGCAATGTGGTATCACCACAGAACACAGAAAGAGGTTTCTGTGTTCTGTGGGTATCACCATAATATTATTCAAAGTTATAGGCTTTATTATGTTACCATTGAGGAATAATGCGCTTATGGTTTGCTTTCATTTTAATGTTCTCATTTTAGTGTTCAGTATAAAAATATTTTTATAGAATACTAGTTGACCCAGCGAACTTCGTATCGCCATAAAAGTATGGGTGATAGAAAGGTGAATATCTATTTTTAAGCCCAAATTATTAAAAAATAAAATGTCAGGGGTACAACCCTTATCACTTAGGGGTATGAAAATAGATAGTAGCCGATAGAATTTTATATATAAGATATAGGACCACGCAACAGCTGATCTCACAATAGATATTTCTCATACTTGGGATATGACCCACCACGCGGGCCCAGTGCGGATTGGTAGGTGCTGACGACTGCAGATGCAGCCGGGACCAACGGCTTAACGTGCCGAAGCACGGAGGAGCTCAAGATAGTAAATTTTTGACCACCCATCCATTGACCGACCACTGCGAAAGTTGCTTAACTTCAACGATCACAGTCAAACGCGCTAACGACTTGCTCCATCGAGCTCCTCGAAATAATTCAATTTAATTATCAATTATTTCAGGTCTAACATCAATAACAGTGGACGTAGACCCGCACAAATGCGACGATGCCTACGCTTACATCAACGACCTGGCCACCGAGGGTCTGGTGGTATACTCGCTGAAGGAGGACAGGAGCTGGAGACTGGAGCACCCGAGCTTCAGACACAATGATGCTGCTATGAATTTTACTGCTGCAGGTACTGGGTAACTGTTTTAAGCATTTTAAGCTATTGTATAGCTTTTATAGCGGGCTTTGAGCGCGGCGACCGAATCAAGAAATTCCGTAACGAAAAATACTTTACGAGAGTGCATATACCAATAGAACACAATTTTCGTCAATATAGTATCGATCTAAACGGCGCAATGAGTTGAATTTTTGTCACGGGACCAACGTTCGACGCATCACCGCACCGCCACGGTAATATTATCTATGATATTATTACCGTGTCACCGCGGTCGTCGGTTCAAATGACCCCAGCACCTGTTCTTATTTTTATTTGTCTCCCTTTTATTTAGACTTTGTAATTGTAATTTAAATTTTTGGACCAAAGATGGTAAACTGTGGAGCTTATGCAAGTTTTTTGGCAATGCTGTTGTTAGCTGTGCTTGCCCAATAAAATGTCATAAGGCCTGCCTCGCCATCTATTAATATCAAAGAAAAAACGAATTAATATCTAAGAAAAAAAAATACTGCTTAAATAAAATAAATAAATAATTAAAATTGCATAAGTTGATAGAAAATGCTATGCAATAGCTTTACCACGGCAGTCCTCGAGTGCCACACGTATTTTTTTTTTTTATATATAGCCAGGTAGGCAAATGACTCTACCCTACCTGATGTTTACTGGTGATAAAGTCCAAACGCGAAGATAGCTGGTACAGCAGTTAAAACTGCCACACCAACCATCCTCAACCTGCAAAAATGCTTCTTCACGCCTCTCTTAAAAACCCCAGATAGGAAGGAGGGAACACGTGCGCGGGCAAAGAATTCCACTTACCAATAGTATGACAAAGAAATGAGTCACCAAATTTCTTTGTTCGTCTAGGAATAGTGGCCACAGTAAGGAATTAAGGTAATTTATGGTTATACTAGCTTCCAACCGCGACCATAGCCGGAGTTAGTTTTTGTTTTCGGTCCGTGAGTGTTAAGCTGGGACTCCAGCAGGGGCGGATCCAGCTTTGGCGCCAGGGGGGGGGGGGGTCATATAGTCGTGGTCAAGTCACAGTGGGTACAGATTGTGAAGTGGGTACAGATGGACCCAGCCCAGGTGGGGGGGGGGGGGTCATGACCCATGACCCCCATGACCCCCCCCCCTGGAACCCCTTTGGTCTCCAGTGCATGTTTTGTCCTACACAATCAACAAAAACATATCAACATTCAACAAAGTAATCTACAAAAAACTTGACGAACGAAAAACCTTTAAAGCCTTCCTCAAAAAACGCACTATCTAATACAAAAAGACTTCAAATCAGACAAACTTAAGCTTTATTAGACTGACAAGCCGAGTTGAAGAACTCGATGGCGCAGGTGGTAAGCGCGTTCGGCTGCGATCGTTGAGGTTAAGCAACATTCGCAGTGGTCGCTCATTGGATGGGTGACCAAAAATCTTCTATCTCGAGTTTCTCCATGCTTCGGAAGGCACATTAAGCCGTTGGTCCCAGCTACATCAGCAATCGTTAGCACCCGCTAATCTGCACTGGGCCCGCGTGGTGGATCATGACCTAATCTCCCTATTCCATCCATAGGGAAGGCCTGTACCCCATCAGTGAGGACATTAATAGGCTGATGATGAGACTGACAATTTTGATGAAATTTCAGGGCACGTCATAAACTGGAGGGACGGCTTATTCAGCGTAGCGTTGGCTCGCCGTTTAGGAAACACACTGGCTTACTATCATCCCTTAGTATCGACGCAAGAATTCGCAATCAGCACCAATAAACTTAAAACTGGAGGACCTTTAGACGAACTCAATCCGGTAAGTACCTAAAACCATTTTCTAGAAGAGGTTAGATATTACACAGCTTAGGATGTGCCTTGAGGGAAAGGGAATATTCCCAATATACCCGGTAACATTACCGATGTATCCGGTAATATTCCAGAAACGAAATGTCTAGGATTTTTTCCCCGATTATATTTCATGTGTACCAATGTATTGGGTAAAAGAAAAGCATATGTTCAAGTAAAAGCAAATGTTTTGGTAATGTTACCGAGATTTTCTCAAGTAGTGGTAATATTCCTATTATTTCCCGGATCTTTTTATTTTTTCTCGTTAGTTACCGATTAGTAAATTATGGGATTTTGTAAGATACATTCACCATATGCTTTTTCAACATACAGTACAATACAATACAAAAACTCTTTATTGTACACCACTAAAAACATTGAACATTAAGCACAATACCATCTAGTACAAGTGATGCAATGGGCGGCCTTATCGCTTAAAGCGATCTCTTCCAGGCAACATAATGCTGATGTGTGTATCTATCAATGTATGTTTAATCGTTATGTACCTACCTATTCATAAGTTGTCAATATTTCTCAATCTTTAGATGATTCTGGTCCAAGAAATTGGAGAGACATATACCTTTATAAATATTTTTTAATTGTTTATTAGGACCACCAGAGAAAGTTACATTATGTCTTATTTTAAAACATTATAGTGATACATACAAAATGCAAAATTCTATTGAAGGTAGCCACATCATGCTTAAGAAATAGTACGAATGGACCGAATTTTAATTAAATAAACAAACAAAAAGACAAACTGAAACCCCATGTAAATAATGAAATTTATGAACTATTAGTGGTTTTAAAACTATAAACAATAGAAAACGAATATATATAATTATTCGATATAACAAATTTAACGACAAAAATAAAAATAAAATTTGCCTACGCATATAGGTTGAATATCTTTTAATCCCGGAATTCCCAAAGGAACTGGATCTTCGCGGGTAAAACCGTGGGGCGCAACTAGTAATAATGTAGTAGAGCAAATTTTCTGAATATATTGTATATATATATTTCAAAAAAATATGAAACACGTTTTTTTAAGTTTCAGTTTACTTTATCTAAGCCAAGTTTCAAAGCTGTCAAGCTAGCCAAACTCGTATTCCCATACAAACTTTAAACCCCTATATCAACCAATTGACGGTGGGATATTCTAAAATCCTTTCTCGTCTACGTCATTTAAACAACCCATTTACTAATATCATGTCTCTACGACCAAAAGTGTAAGCGTGTGGTGACGCACTATTTGAAACTTCAACATGCTATATCTTTGTTTTATGTGGGTAGTTTTGAAAAATAAAAACACTGATAGCATTTTTATTATAGACAAAGGGGTGTGCAAATTTTTTTTTGACACGAAATTTTGAAACTTTTTGAGGGTAGTTGTAGTAAAAAAATATGTAACAGGCTTAATGTACATCCATTAAATAATGTTTAAGTAAAATTTGCAGTCCATAAGTACAAGGGATAAGATTTATGAAACAAACGATTTTTGCTAATTTTTGCTAATTTCACGCTTAAGAGACTGAATTTCAAAAAATCCCATCTTATTACTTGACTGAGCTATTATAATAGGAATCTTCAAATTTTATCATTCTAGGTTCAGCCGTTTCGGCTGTGCGTTGATGAGTCAGTCAGTCTGTCAGTATATCCTTTTCTCTCTTTATATAATAGTACAGATATTAATTAGTTTGCATTCTAAAAAAACGAGTGCGCTTATGACCACACAACTGAAGGGAAACTTCTTTAGCTCTATGTGTATATATATATATATATATATATATATACATACATACATATATAGATATGTGTCTACAATATTAACATGCCTATACATATTCATATTTCATTTACTAACTATAAGAGGAAGAGAGAAAGAAAATGTGCGCGCGCACTGCTTTCTCCTGCTTATCCCCCACTCAACTCTCGTTCGCCTCGCCCGAACACGCGAGCTTACTTCCCAAGTCAAGCGTGCGTAAAGAAGTTTGACTTTAAAAAATATCAGCTCTTTCTTGCTTGCTTCGGAAGGTACGATAAGCAGCTAGGTTTCTTCTAACCAGGGCTGGTTTACCGGTTAATTTTCAAACCTAAATCAGTGTCAAGTACATTAGGAACGTTTTATTTAGGTTTGGCTGTACCTTAACCTTAAAAAACCGGTTTTCCTAAAAAGCGAAATCAAATCGGTTTTGAATCAGTTTAGCGGTTTTTGAAGGGTTTCATTTTGCTCTTACTGACGGCTGAAATAAATACACAACTACAAAATAAATAACTTGACTCACTAGACATTAGCAAACGTGTCAATAAATGCATCAATCTCTGAGCATTAACAAGTTGTGACTTAATTAGTTCAAATAAAACAAACTTCAAGCGATGCCGACACGTGCACGTGTCGCTCTGGCTTAAACCGGTTTATTAAGGTTTTAGGTACGTACCGCTTTCATTTCGGATGCACTCCGGTAAAAACCGGTATTAACCTTTATTTACCGGTATTTTTGAAACCGGTTTCAAGCCCTGCTTCTAGCTCTAGATATATGTTTCTCGGAATCTACCCGAGTTTGCGTTTATTTTACATCGTAAAGTGCATAACGCAGTGTAAACTTTGGGCTTCTCAAAATTGGCGTTCGCTAGCTTACCTCCCCACGTCAAACGTGCTTAAAGAAGTTTCACTTCAGTCATGTGGTCATAAGCACACTCGTTATTTTTAATCAAAACAGCTCAATACTTTTTCTTCAGGCTTTAGGAGATGCCGGCCCCAACACCCAAAGAGGTTCCCATGACATCCACTCTCCAACTAACATCATGTTCTTTGCGAATGTCGCACAAGCGGCCGTCATGTGTTGGAATATTAACACCGCTTACAACGGAAACAATTTGCAAATTGTGGCACAAGACACCAACAGACTTGGATATATATCGGGTAATTGTATTATTATTTATAAACCCAAAGAAAATTTTACTATAAAAAAATCTATGTGGATCGGGCTTCATACGGGATTCGAACCTGTACCGTCCGCTATCTGGACGGACGCACTGATTATGTTGGCGCGAACTTCTTCTAGTATTTCTTAGGCTTAGGTAGGTAACTCACAATTGAGGAGCTGGCAAGCAAAACGGTATAATTACGCATCTGGTCAACCAACCTTCTTTTTTACAGTCCAGAGGTTTCAGGACCGTTGAATTTGAATCTCAAATAATTTTCAATCTAAACCGCCTAAAAAAGTGTTAATATTACTAAATTTATAAATTAAAAACCATGCCAAAAGGTCACTGGAGGTATGTCATTCAGTTTTATACAGCTCCTATAAAATTTGCTGGCTGCATCTACAGTCGTTAGCACCCACCAATCCTCACTGGGCATGCATGGTGGCTCATGGCCCAATCTCCCTATTCCATCCATAGGGAAGGCCTGTGACCCAGCGGTGGGGACATTAATAGGCTGATGATGATGATGAATTATTATTAATAAATAATCTTCTATCTTTTCTATCTTCTTCTAGATTTAAAGGTGAGAGGAGACGACGTGTGGTTGCTAGCAAATCAAATACCGAAGTTCGTGTACAACACGCAGAATATTAACGAATATAATTATTTCATTATGAGGTAAGTTTGGCTGAATACAAAAAATAATCAGCGAAAGACCGAGAAACATTCTATTAACCATACCAAACAACTACAAACATACAAAATATATATATTAAGTAAATCATATTTACAGTGATAAAAAAAACAGAATAATAGAGAATTAAATTATTATCCTTAATGGTAAATCAGGACCCAGCCTCAGCATAATCTCAGATAAAATCTCAGATCAAGAATACTCTTATGAATAAGGACTATTATAAAGTTGATGATTATCTAAATGATCGTAATGCATGGACATAGTGTTGCTTGTAATTTGTTATTTGATGGGTATTAGCCATTTTTCATAACAGTAACATAGTACCTATCTAATGCCGCTTCCTTTATACTAAATAAAAAGTTAACTATAAAATTAATTGTAAGTATTTATTTACATTATAAATGATGTAATGGAAGGTGACTTCAGCTGTATCTCTGAAGTAATTTTTCAACTTAACGACTCTGTATTTAACTACACAGGGAGAAAAAAACAGCCCTTGCCGAGTTTCTTGTCGGTTCTTCTCAGTACAAGGTCTCCCGCCGTAGTTTTGCGAACCGATGGCGTAGCTTCTTGACCTTCACAAGTGCTTGTAACAGCCTAGACTTAATAAATGACTTTTCATTTCATTTCATAATGCTGCCGCAACACGTCACCAAACGTGTATGATTACGAAATATTATATTGTTATTAAACTGTCAATTACAAAATTAGGTCATCTTTATCATGTTCATAGAAACAGCCTGTTGGAACGTTTGGAACAATCTCAAACCAAGCATTTTTGCCTGAAATATAGAGACCACACCACCTTATTGCGCACAGACATTTATCGGTAGATTTAAATTTATTGACGATATTATTTTTTAGGATACGGTATTTGAGAAGTTTTAGAAAAGGATCCTTCGCTATTTACTAATGTTTATGGAGCCCATAAAAAGTCGATATTTTTAATTCTGTTGTGAAATTCTGTAGAAAAAACTAAATTAAGAAAACAATTTTCAAGTTGCCGCGAAAACGTTTCTCTGGACATTATGGCGTCTCACTAGTAAGTGACGTCACTCACACGACTTTAATCAAAACGTCAAACGATACAATGTCATGTCACTTTGGCCAGAAGTATACTAGCGTGTAACGTCATTTTCGTCTTAACCAATCACAGGCGTTTTCGGTTACGTGACCATGGAGCAAAAAAATCATTTCTATTAATTGAGATTTTAGAAAACTTATTGATTAGATGCCAACAACTGGTACTTTATTTTTCATATTGTCAAATAGTTTATTATTTGTTTCTTAGGTTTTCTGACGACGTAGCCTGTAAAGACTACGAAACGTCAATAAATAAATAAAGTTTTCGTGCATTAACCCGTAAAAACTAGTTTTATTTAAATAGTTTATTGTTTTATATTGCTAGAGACTTCATTGTAGAAGCGCACACAAAGAACTTTAAATGAATTAATGGTTTTGTGTTTTAATAACAAGCGACTTAAATGACTATACATGTGATAAACAAGTTTTTATTTTCTGTTGCAGAGGATCAGTTCAAGAGTTGATCGCGGGAACAAAATGTTTACAACCTATTTAAGACTGATTTTGGATTCGATATTATTGTTTAGTTAGTATAATAAGTGCCTACGTATATTTATATTTTTTGAGAAATAAATGATTTCATGAAGCACTTAACTGTTTTTAGAATTTAAAATTTATTGACTAGCTGACTCGGCGAACTTCGAACTGACCAAAAGTAATAATTTGCAATAAAATAATATTGCGACTATAAATTGAAATGTAGGAGTCCATCCCGGACAAACAACGTGACGCGTAATATATATATATTTAAATATATATAATGTCATCTTCCATTCTTTTGCTAAAATACCTCGAGCATGCCACTATAAAAATAATTCATAACAAAACAACTAAGTAATTATTTACAATCAATTCCGCATATTTGCGTGATCTGAGATTTAATAACTTAGAAATGATTGATCTCATAGTGATGTCATGTTATTGGCAGTAATAATCAGTAATACTGGAATGCTTGCATGT